TTCACATCTCGTGACTGTATTGTTTCAAGGCTTTCAAGATGATGAATTTCAAATTATGTCAAAAATTCAAATTATTCATCATGGGATGTTATAATGTATTTCTACGGGACAATTATCTTTTTGTAATAAAATTTAACCATAAATTCGTTCTTGTTGAAGCACCAAAGTTAATGTATTCCGCGGTAAGTTCAAGGTGACCACATGTTAACATAAAAACTGAGTTTCTTAATACAATAATGACTTCTTAATTTATAATTCATTAAAGCAATTTTTGTATAAGATTTTTTGATCATAAGCCAAGTCGGAGTTAGATGGACCACATTTTAAAAAACTTGAGTATGATTTTTATTTCAATTCAATGTATTTCTTATGGCATGCACTTTAAGACAACTGATAAATGTAACAAAATAAACCACATTTTTTTAAATACACAAAAAAGTAATATATTACTACGTGTAAAAGTCCAACTCTCAAACACTGTGCAGGGGAGACGCACCACTAATGGTTTCCAATTATTACTTTTTTTATGTACATCTTTTGTGAATCCAGTTCACACATTTTAAAATTGTTTTGCGCATTTTTGGATGTAAGCTTCCTCGAAAAATACTCGAAAAAATTATGCTAAATGAAGGTAGTCCATCTATCCTCAATGCAAAATCACAAATGATCAAGTTTGAATAGAAAATTGTTTTCGGATTACAATAATTTATATTATACAAGTTGGATTATAAACAGCACCACAAGTCATAATTTCATTACTTTTAAAGACGTTCCAATACGTCTTTTAAAAATTTATCAGTTTTTTATTATCATTCGTTTGTTTGTCTTAAATAAAATGAATAAAAGTGTTCTATTCTTTCCACAGCTTACTTTACATTATTTAATTTTCATATTGTCTAAAATCAAAAGTTAGTGACAAATAGTGAGCTTGTACAAAGACAATTTAATAAGGAATCCAAAAATAATAAAATATACAGGATGTTTTATTTAAAAAACTCAAAGTGATGTCACTCCCGGTAAAGGAGAAAGCAGCATCGATTGAGCATCTATGCCAAACAACAGATGACAAGAAACTCTTCAACTTTCTTCTAAGAAGTATTGTCATATCTTTAAAAATAATGCAGTTATGGGGCGTTTTTCATAATCCAGCCTGTAGATGGTACGTATTAGGACAGTAATAAGTTTAAACTTGCCACTGTTCAAGTGTTTGAGTTTTTTTTTCACGAGATATACTTGTAAAGGGGTAAATTACCCCCCCACCAAAAAATTTTGTATATTTTTTTAATAGTTAAGTTAAAATAATAATAATAATAAAATAGGTTTATTAAAATGCACAACGAATAAAAAAAATTACAGTAAGTGCTGAAAGTGACCACCATTTTCCAAACATCTATGACATCTTGTTTGGTCAACTGCCTACTCTGGTAGAAAGACTCATTTTGTTATTTATAAATCAAAGTTATCAATGATAACTTATCATTTATTTGTTGTTTTTGAATATTTTTTTAGTTTTGTTGTTTTATTAAAGAAGTTTGTAAATGTGTTTATTTATTTTGTATTATCATTATATTTAATTGTTTATATAAAAAGTTTTGATTTGATCACTTCCCCTCCCTATCACCATTCCAGTGTTGGTCCGACACTTTTGAATCATCCTGTATGTTAATTACAAAAAATTGAGAAATTTGTAGCAAGTAGGTTATAAAGTTAATAAATTATTTCCATATCGACATTTGCACTGTGAAGCAGTAGAAATAAAACAGTAATGTATTATACATTTCTGAAGGTCAATACTTACAAGCTCTAAATAAAGCTCAAATATCAAAAAATTTAAAGAAACAGTGCATAATAATTATTACATTTGTAACACCAAATTATACGACAATTGTTTGTTATTTTTTTTTTAATTCATTTTAAGCTTGTAGACTAATATTGTTATTACACTGAGCACAGCAAATATTTTCTAGAATAGTTAGAATAATCAATGAACTGAAAACAAAGAGCAAGTGCAAACCATTCTTATAAAGTATTATAAAAAGGTATTAGGAGAGCTGAAAGTTATTTCTATTTAAACAAGATTAGTGAGTGACTGAAAATATTTATCATTTTTAAAAATTAATTAAGTCTGGTTACCATTCTTCATTTGCAAATGATATTCCTAATTATTTCTATATACAAAATGCGGATGAATTTAACATGGAAAAAGTTACATATGTGCAGAGACGGATCTAGAAGTAGTTCTTGGGGACTGACAAAACAAAAACATATTTGTAAAATATAGAAAAACCAACAAAAAATAAACAGTACTCGTGAAATATATGATTAACTTCGTCAATTTCGTTAAGTTGATATTTAATTAACTTCAGTAAAACTTAAATTTACCAGATTTTTTTTAATCTAGGACGCCATTCAACAAAAAAAAATATTATTTTTTTGTTAAATTTTACAATAATTATAAATCAATACAATTTGACAGAGACGATGCAAATCTATTTTTTATACTTTTGTATATTAAGTTTTTGGTTCATTTATAGTAAAATTAAATTGATTTATGTTTTGTAATGAGTCCTTGCTTGTACAGGGTGTCCCAAGTTTTAAATCAATTTTTGCAATGTCTTTAAGCTCACAATAACACATAGGTACATTTATTTTCTTAGCCATGCTCTGAGTGATTTACTTGCCTATCGCTAATTAAAAGTGACTTAAAAGTCAGAGACATAAAACTTAGTCTAGTATCCATGAAATACATTTTTTACTTCTTTTTCCTGTATCAGCATTCGAAACAGTTTAAGCTGCTTCACTGACTTTGTAAATTAATAACAATGACACAATTAAAGACTTTTATGTAGATACATTTATTAAGCTAGAGAACGGTGTACTCAAACTCATATAGTGTCAAGGAGGATGCTAAGAAAGTTTTAATTCTAAAACATCATTTGTGAATCTGAAGGAAAATAACGTAGAATGAATTATAACAAAGCCACATCAAGGATTTTATAACAATAAGAATTAAAAAAAAAATTAAAAAGCTACACACCGAGTGTCTTAGCTAAAATAACTCTCGGACAACTAGTGGTACTAAGCAAGTAAGTATCTTAATTTTCAAGGAGTTTACTATTTAAACTAGAAATGTGATGAGTACTGCTTGATTTTCTTCATTATTTTTGCTAAAACAGCCTAAAACACCAATATTGGTAGTAATGGTAGTTACATACGCCTTTATAAATGAGAAATAATAAATTTAATGGTTACTGAAATGTGACAAGAACTTTGTTAGATAATCCATATGTCGTAGGCTAATTGTAAATTCAGTAGGTAAAACACCTAGTCATTTTGAAAACGACTGGGCAAATTGTAAATGAATGAGTAAATGCAGAGTTTTCAGAATATTATTATATAGTACGTATGGTTAATTTATAATACGACTGAAACAAACCTGCGTCACAGATTAACTTTAAAAAGTTTAAAAAGTTATTTGACAATTACACTTTTTTTTGTTGTTAAAATTGTTAATTAAACAATTTGTCTGTCTTAGGAAATTTATTAATTCAACTAAGTGTAATTTAATCATCGCTTTGATTTGCTGTCTACCCGTTATTATGCCACAGATCAACAGTAAAAAATGAGGTTATTAATGTAAAGGTTGTTTTACATTATAAAAATGACAATACTGCCCCAAATTTTAATTCCACAACTGTACGATGAAACTGTTAACAAAATTTATTTGTTTTCTTGAAATATGTTTCCTTTTTATATTCATTATTCATTAAAAACCTCTTATAAAATAATATTTTTCAGTCTTTTACAAAACGACTGAATGTAACCAGTCATTTTCCAAATGGAGAATATTTAAAAACATTTTACAATAAGACGAAACCTTATTAGGCTTTTTATAATACGCCTAAAATTGTCCGTCATATTGTAAAAGCCCTGCATTTATTCATTCATTTACAATTTGCCCAGTCGTTTTCAAAATGACTAGGAGTTTTATAAAACGACTGAATTTACAATTAGCCTACGACATATACAAAATAATATATAGGTACTGGGTGAATAAAAAGTATGGATCTAAGCGTTTACGAATAATTAGTTTTTACATTCTTTTAATTCTTTTATTGTATATTAAAGTACAAGTTGCAGAAGGTATCTGATTATTCAAGCACAAATTTGAAATTCCGAAACGATCCGCGAAGCGGCGAGTTGAGGAACAAATAAGTACTTGAAGAACCTTCTGCAACAAGTGCTTTATACTATTTTTTCTATTTCGCCGCTTTATATCATCTTATAAATAAAAAAAACAATTTTTTTTTCTAGAGAATTTTGCGACGGTTGGCGACATTTATGTGTGAATAATTTTAGGCGGCTGAAAAAATAAAAATTATTCTTATTTTCACATTTGAAAATGAATTGTGAAGAAAGTTCGTCACTAAAATTAAATGACGTCATTTGGGTGCTGGAATAGACTTATTCTAACACCGAAATAGAAAAAGTTCTTTTTAGGTACCTATACAAAATTCTTGGTCTTTTACGTCCCAATGCATGAAATGACCACATCGGTTAATTTCTGAAAATCTTTATGATGACCTCAGAAGGCAACTTTAACAATTTATTAAAAAAAAAACTACTCGATGCTTAGCAATAGAATCACCAGATGTTTCATTTTTTTAATTTAATTTTGCGTAAAAAAATAAATAGGTGGTATCATAAATAGTCATTTACTGTACAAAAAATTCAATTGAAAAGATTTATACAGGGCGCTCAAAAGATGGCACACCAACTCAATGACAAGTGGAAGAGACATGCTTACAAAATAAAGGTAAAAATCATTTTACATTGCATTATTACACTTACTTCGATGTTTCCCGTAAACCTCAAGTATGTTCAGCTACGTAAAAAACAACAAATCTTGTATTAGAGTTATGGCAAACTACTAATATCGTTTCTTCATTATAAATATTATTAATTTTTCTCTTAACATTAATCTCCTGTTGTTTTTCCAGATCGTAACAGAATGCTTGTAAGGTAGCAAGAAATTTAATCACACGCCGAAGAGTGAGATTAAATGTAATCATGTGATAAATTCCTTCAAAAATGGGCAGTTTACCAAATTTGCACGAATTAGGAAAAGACGCCGAAAATGGTCCTTCGCCTTATCGGCCTGGTCCCGCATTGGGCCATCTTTGTAGTGGTGGCAACTCTACATTATCTCAAGCTGAAAAATCTAAAATTTTACACCGCTATTCAGGCCATGCCAGGATAACTAAAGCTAGAAGCAACGGCAACGATTCCAAAATAGTCTGCGATGACTTTATGCTAGAGGTGAGACAATTATTGTTATTATGTCAGTATTTTTAATTTTTTTGTTTATCCGAAATAATTATTTTTTTTTTCAGTAGGTTTATTTAAAAAATTTTATTATTATTAATAAAATTTTCATATATTAAAAACAATATAAATTTAGTTTTTATAATAATTTTGTAATATTAATGCACAATGCATTTCCCAGTTGGATGAAATTTTTGGATAATACAGGGTGTGTCAGAACTCGCGCTTCAGAGAAAAATTTTACGCAAGATAAGATACCAGAAACATGAAAAAACTTTTTAATCTTCGACACTGTCAAAATTTACGGTTTTTCTTCCGTGTAAGGAAGTTTTGACAACTGTTTAGCATTTCTCAATACAAAACGTCAAATTATTTTTAACAGATTTAAAGCAAGTTTAAACCTTGTTGACTCTAATTCGAAGAATAAAATGTTGTATTCCACTCGTTTGAGTGTTTATTCCACCTCGTGGATGGTAAACCACTCGTTACACTCGTGGTTTAAAAATCCACTCGGTCAAATAAAGAGTCTGATTTACACTCAAACTCGTCGAATAAATAACTATTATGTCTATTTAATGATACTGATGATCTTGTATATGTTTTTCTTATAATTATTTAATAAGGGTACAAAAATTTTACCAATAAAAGCCACAAATAACTTTTTTAACAGAGTTTCTTGTTTCCTCTTCAACTAGCCTGAAGCTTGGAAAATAATTTGTCCAACAGAAATAAATAAAGTCAAAGTGGAAAATTTAAAATCTCATAACTTTGCAATTTTTATAGATAGAATTTTTTAAACATTTTTTCCACGTTCTTGGTAACCTATCATATATGACATTTTTCTCTGGACCGCAAGTTCTGGCGCATCCAGTATAGAAACCCACTGTAAGAAAATTTATTTTGTAGATATTAAGCGTTGAATGAAATATTTACCATTTAAGATATATTCTGATCAATTTGAAATAGTTTTTTGTACTTATAGCTTTTAGGTAGTTATTTCCCGATTATCTTCAACGTGTGGGAACAAGCATTTCCCGTACTGCGATCTTTTTTATATACTTTGCAGTGTAGGGACATTTATTAAGTTGGTATTACTACGGTTGAGATAAAGAAAACCAGTGAATTTTTTTAGGTAGCAGATAGAAAACTGCTTTCTTTGGGATGCCTTTTAAACTTTTGTTGGTAAGCATCCTTCACTATCGCTCATTGTGAATTTAAGACAAACGATTGTTTTCTATAAGTGATAGTGACAGTTTAACCCCGTCACCAACTCATAAGCAAAAAACTAAATTATAATAAATTAAATATTTATTTTTGATTGTTTTTTAAATTGCTCAAGTAGGAAATTTTATTTTCTAAACACATTAGGTAATTAAGTATTTTTTAATAAGTAATTTAGTAAGACGAAAAAGGTTTACGTATCACGTGCTGTTAAGGGCTATTCCAACATAAGAAGTTGAAAACGCATTTTGATTTCATAAAATCAAATAAACAAATGGCACTAATTGCTACTTTGAAAACTTTTAAGGTTTTTGAAAACTTTTAGGGTTTTTAAAATTGTCAAATAATTGTGGTATCTCTAGGACTTGCATTTCAGTTTAAGACAAAAAGTTAATATTGATCCTTGCTAATTTTATATAGAAAAAGAACAAAACTGTATGTTTTGTAGTTTTTTTTTAAACACCAGCCTAGTCAACAATTAGGCTCATAAAATATGCCGTAAATAAACGCAATTAAAAATAATGAAAAACGGAATTCTTATGAAATTTCAGAACTCGCATTTCAGAGAAAAAGATAAGGTAAGAAACCAAAAACATGGAAAAATTTCGATATTATGGGGGTTTAAATTTTGGACTTTGATTCTATTTAAAAATAATTTTACATGTTTTTGCTGCAGGCTATTAGAAGAAGAAACAAAGAAGCTGTATCCTGAATTATAACTATGTTTAACTTTATTTGTGGCTTTTTTTAAAAATATATTACAAAAAGTCAAATTTCAAAAATAAATAGATAACAAAATTTCTTGACAGAGAATGTTTAAAACACTTCCATGTTTCTGATATTTTATGTTACTAAAAAGGTAAGATTCTTAATAGCATTTTGCTCTGGGGCGCGAGCTCTAAATCAACCAGTAGATAAACTCAAATAAATGGTCATCTGTCATAATGCAATAGTTAAGTTAAATTTTTTTGATAATAATAAATACTAGTCTTATAAAATCTGTTTTTTTTGTAGTTTTAATCGAGATTTTGGTAAAGATTTTAAGTTTAAAGAATTCAATAATTATTACTACTATTATTATTAATAATTTAATTAATAAATTAAATATTTATTATAACCCCGGGGAAATTTTGAAAACCGTCAGCTGTGGAGTTAGACTTTAAAGTTTAAACATACTTCATGGCCATGATCTGCTGGTCTTAGGTATAGAGGGTGTTAAAAAAGATTGTAAAATATTTCAAGAGGTAATAGTATGGACCAAAACAAACAAAAAAGTCTTAATACACATGGGTTCGAAAAGTAAGGGTTTGAAAGATATCAAAAATTTTTCGTTTTTTGAAACATTTATTTACAATCTGTTTAAACAAAAAAGGAGAAGTTCTAGTAAGAATTCTAAAAATGTTTACATTCGATATCTCCAAAACCGTTACTTTGCGGACCCATGTTTATTAAGACTTTTTTGTTTATTTTAGTTCACACTATTACCTCCTTAAATATTTTACAATCTTTGACCCTGCATACAGTGCGATCAAAGAGTCAATCAAGCAACAAAAACAAAATACAAAATGTCAGTAATACGTTTTCTTGGAAACGATTAATTAATATATCCTATTTACAATAGTCTTCAATACGTTTACGCTTTTTTTTGAATAGAAGTGTACATAAATGGCTCAACTAAAATTTTTATAATATTTTTAATAGTAACATTTCAAACAATATTTGTATGTAAGTACCATCTTGTTTATGTATCTGTACAGGGTGTGTCAGAACTCGCACCCCAGAGAAAAAATTCAAGTAAAATAAGATACCAAGAACACGAAAAATATGTTTAAAAAATTCAATCTGTTAAAAAAATTGACATTTATTTTTTGACATTTGACATTTTTTATGTCTATTTAATGATATTGATGATCTTGTATATGTTTTTTATAATTATTTAGTAAAGGTACAAAAATTTTACCAATAAAAGCTACAAATAACATTAAACAGAGTTACAATTTAGGATACATCTTCCTTGTTTTCTTTTCTAATAGCAAAAAAACTTGTAAAATTATTTTTCCAACAGAAATAAATAGAAGCAAAGTACAAAATTTAAACTCTCATAACTTCGAAATGTTTATAGATAGAATTTTTTTAACATTTTTTTGTCAAATTGAAGACATGAATGCTTATATCGGAACAAATCTTTTCATTTTGTGAATTTTTTCCAGCATATGGCCACATATTCGCCAATTTCCAACCGATCAACTCGGAATTTAACTCACAACATCAGACGCCGCGACTCATTGAACAGCTCTATAGGGGCAACTTCAGTGCGTCGTTTGATCGCCGTGGTGCGCTCCAACACCCATCACAACACCCAGACGAGACAAGGTCCACCGTACTCCCGCAGACTTCTGCTATCGAATTTGGTGGTTTTGTGCATAACGCACCTGATTATCACTGCCGCATTCTTGCCTTTCCTCGCACTTCAAACAAGTGTTTCGGTATGGACGATGCCTCTAGGGCATTACTTCAAACCCATCAATATCAACATTGGATCTATACTACTGGCCATCGTTCACTTCTTCGCCGCCATGTCGTCTATCTTTGGTCCTTCTATCGTGCAAAAACTAGGAACTAACGTCGTTTTCTTCTGTTCGTATCTCGTGTTTGTGGTTTTTTACGCTTCACATCTTTATCCGTCATTGTATGTTCTTATTCCCGTCGCTATACTACTCGGTTTGGCTCTAGGGCCTTTGGTTTCGTCACAGATTACGTTTTTGATGACGCTTTCGGCAAAGATCAATTACATGTTTTCTGAAGAGGATGATGATTCGAAAGCGTTAAGAAGAACGTGTATCATAAGGAGATTAGCGCGGGCGTTCCAAGCTGCTCACGATTTTGGACTTATAGTTGGGTCAGTTTTATCTGCGCTACTTATTACTTACACTGTCAATATTAACAATCAAGAATATGGTGATATTTTCGATAATTCGACGTCGGTGATGGATAAAAATCAAACTGAAAGTTGCAGTAATTTGACTTTAGAAATAAATTGCACAAGGTAAGTGGCTGTCATGTTTATTAGGTAATGAAGATTATACTATTCACTAGCTACCTGTTTGCATTTTAACAACGACAAAATATCGAGAGATCAAGATAATTTGTAAGCGAGTCATCTTTGGTCTGTTTTGAACTAAATGAACGTGAAACGTCAAATAAATTGACAAGTCAAAAGGTAAAACTGCAAAATGTGCAGAAATTAGTCGCCCAGGTACCGTGAGATCAAAAATTATCTTGGCCAAGGAATGGAAAACGTCTGTCGTTGCTTATATCATCTTTTTTAAATAATTCTATCAATGTTTGACTTACTGACAGCGTCGATAACATAACCTACAACAATTTTTTTTTAATCCATGACCACCCTTGACAAAGATAATTTTTGGTCTCACGGTATAATAATAGGAAATATGACCTTTCATTTTTGATAGTGAATCATAAATTTAGTTATTAAAATAGTCATCTTTTTGATCATGGTATTTTCCCTTTCGACTTTCACAGGTTTCACAGACATACGTTTTCGGATCCAAGGATGACTCGATTACAAATTATATTGATCTCTCGATATCTTTGTCAACTTAAAATCTCAAAAATACCTCTAATAATGAAAATTAATTTCTTCTTGTTTGTTTTTTTTTTTCTCACAGTATTGGAACTTTATGTGTAACACACATACAGCGTTACACAGGAGTGCGTGAAAGCTCTATAACTTTTTTTCTAACTAATTTTTTAATGGTACGTCCGATATTATTTTTACTTAATACAGAATGTCCCAAAATAAGATACACAACTAAATTCTGTTTTTTTAAATGAAAACCCCCAATTTTTACTACATTTTTGAATTCGCTTCTAAATTGCCGATATAACGCATCCTGTTTCGTAGACTTATTTGACTTATTTACAATAATTTTTGACTTATGTCAATTTATGTGTCAAAATAGTGTCGTGCATAGACCCACAAAAAAATTCATAACTTCAGAACCATTCAAAATAACTTAACCAACTTTTTCCAGTTGATTTCTTAAGTTATAGCGCATCCTCTGAGACAAAGGTGAATTTAGGGTCAATGTTCCATTGTCTACTATGATTTTTTTAAAATGACTAATTAAAAATGGCAACTCGACTTTTTCAAATACAACACTTTATATTTTATTGCATCATTGCGTAGCATTTTTTTAAGCTTTTTTGCTAATATAGAGTTGGTGGTACATATCTGCTTTGTAAAATTTGTGAGATTTTTGCAAAATAAAAAATGTTTGATTTTTTTTCGAAAAAAAAGAGAAATCTAGTAGGCCGCTGTCGTAAAATTTGGCGGAAACCTTCCATTTAACTTAATAAAACAACGCTTGCTAGAGTTCAGAGCTTATTTAGTAGAAGACTAGCAGCTTGTGTGGAACATGATGGTGACTTATACAGGGTTATTCATAAATATGAAGCAATTATTCTTGTTGAATCAGCTGAAGATTCCAAAATCGAAAAATACGGAATTTTTTTATGTTACGTGATGGTACCAACTGTTGTTGGAAAAAAAAAACTGGTTAAGAAAAGGGGTTTTGGTCCCCTTTGCTACATCAACAACGAAAAAGGATGAAACTCAACAAGCAACCTCTAGTTTTTTACAATATTCATTGGATGGTCTTGAAAATTGTCAAGCCACATCAAACCAAATCAAACAGATTTCACCACCTGTTAATAAGGATTCTTATTCAAAAAATGATTCTGATCTTGAATCTAGTACAGGGTTATTCATAAATATGAAGCAATATTTGAACCTCAAAAATGACGTATGAAATGATGTTAATTTAAATAATAAGTCGTGTCCTATCTCTACTGATAAGAATTTTACAGCCCTCGGAATGTGGGTATGGAAATTTGATTTTTTTGTAATAACTTTGGAACTATTTGACCAAATATTATAAAATTTGGAACATTTTCCTGTGACAACATACCCTTTAAACTGGTAATCACGCAAACCGGATACATCCACTCAATTTCCGGTTTCAGCAGTTGCAGGTCACATTTTCTGTGTTTTTCCATTTTTTTGCTCTCTTAACACCAATTTTTTATTGCCCAAATCGATAGAGTAATCAATTTCGATTAAAAAACGCATAAGCCTTTGATACCCCTAAAATGGACCGTTTCAAAGATATTTTAATTTAAACTGAGGACTGCACAACGCTGAAACCAAAAAGTAGGGATTTTGAATGGATGATATCTACGGTAACAAATGACTATGGTCTCACTAATCGTTGTCAGGCATCTGTCAACTTTGACATTGGACGATTATTAGACTATTAATCGAAAATAATTAATAAAAGAGTTTACCTCAGATTCCAAACATAACTTAGAATAAATCCAAATGGATCAGTTAGCATTTAATTCATAAAAAATTCACAAAAATTTATCGTCAAAGTTAACAGATGCCTGGCACGGATTTATGTGACCATGGTCATTGGTTGCCGTGGATACCATTTATTCAAAATCCCTATTTTTTGATTTCAGCGTTGTGCAGTCCTCAGTTTAAATTAAAATATCTTTGAAACGGTCCATTTTAGGGGTATTAAAGGATATGCGTTTTTTAATTGAAATTGATTACTCTATCTATTTGGACAATAAAAAATTGGTGTTAAAAGAGCAAAAAAATGGAAAAACACAGAAAATGTGACCTGCAACTGCTGGAACCGGAAATTGAGTGGATGTATCCGGTTTTCATGATTACCAGTTCAAAYGGTATGTTGTCACAYGGAAATGTTKKAAATTTTATAATATTTGGWCAAATAYTTCCAAAYTTATTACAAAAAAATCAAATTTCCATACCCACATTCCGAGGGCTGTAAAATTCTTATCAGTAGAGATAGGACACGAGTTATTATTTAAATTAACATCATTTTATAGGTCATTTTTGAGGTTCAAATATTGCTTCATATTTATGAATAACCCTGTATGAGCATTTTCTATAAGTAGACTTTTCTCAAAATTATTCCTTTCCTGTTCTTGTAAAGATTATTAAAATTGTTTTCTTTGTGATTTACTCTTGTTTCTATTACAATTTTATTTTTTGAAACATATTCTTTTCAAAATTGAATGGATGTGTCAAATTTTACATCGGCCTACTCGATTCCTTTTTAAAAAAAAATCATTAAATCATTAAATCATTTTGCACAAATCTTACAAATTTTACAAAATAGACCTCACAAAACCTACATCGACAAAAAAAGTTTATAAAAAAATGCTATGCAATGATGCGATAAAATATAGGGTGTTGTATTTGACAAAGTCGAATTATTGCCATTTGTAATTTGTCATATTTAAAAAATTGTAGTAGGTGATGGAACATCAACTCAGAGTTTACCTTTATCTCAAAAGATGCGTTAAAATTTGGGAAATCGACTAGAAAACAGTTCTAAATAATTCTAAAAAACGAAATGGGTGATTGGGGGTTTTTATTTAAGAAAAAAAAAATAGAACTTGTGTTGTGCAATAAATAAAAATAAAAATATTTCTATAATGTGCATTATTATAGGACCTACCGTTAAAAAAAACAAGTCAATAACTTGGATATGGAGCTTGAACGCACCCCTGGGTCACCCTGTATATTTTGAAACACTACTAAATTTAACTTGATTTTTGGTGGAAAAAAGTACTAAAGTCTTTTCTAAAATAAAAATTATAATTATATTATTTTTAAGAATGTATTTTGTTTCGTATGCTCAACATATAAATAAAACAACTTTCTATTAATTTTTACTCGTTTTAAAATAGCTTTAACCAAAAGAGAATAAAAATCCATTTGTTGATTTCCAAAAAATATTAACGTTTTAATTTTTCGATTTTAATAAATGTAATACAATATTTTAAGTAAATTATGCAAATTTTGGTATTTGTAGAAATAATTATAGATTTTTCTAATACCCCATTGAGTGTGTACTGCTATAAACATTCGAATCCATTTCCTGTATTTGTTATTAATTTTCGATTGACAATTGAATTCGTCTGATCATCAACGCACGATTGAACACTCGGAAGTACTCAAGGCGACTCGATGGGAACAAGTAAAGTAGTACTATTTTTTTCGAGAATCATCCAAGTGTTGAATACAGAAAATTGAACAAATTTGTTACGCAACTTGCACAAAATCAGCCGGTTTAAGGTCGACCGAAAGAAAGTATTTGACCAAAACCATTTATTCCAGGGACAAAAATTCTCTTTCGTACAACATCTACGACTACAATGCCTTCCTCGATGACATATTTGACACCTTCGAAGGGACGAGACTATGTGGAGCTCAGGCGTGTCCTCCAAATTTTCTTCTCCATTTCAACATGTCGGAAGAAAGTTATTTTCATGTGTTACCGAAGAAGAGTTCGACCGTTTTGGCTGTGGTGTACGCAGGGCTATGCTTCGTTGCGGCGATGGCCAGTGCTGTAGGATTGGACAGAATTCGAATCTATGTCTATCAAGATCCTCTGGAAAGACCAGAAGGATTAGCGGCCTTAAGAGCGGTGAAGGAATCTTTCAAAGATGTGAGGCTGCAAATGGCAGCACCGTTGGCTTTATTCATCGGGTTGGAACAGGCGTTTATCTATGCAGATTTTAGCAAGGTTAGTAAGGTGACTCAAATTAGATAATAAAAAGATTATAATCAATGATGGAAAAGTTAAAATTTTTGGACTTTGTACTAGACGTTCGATATACGACTAAAAGTTGTTTACTGTGACTCTTATTTTATCTATCTACAAAGTTTATTAAAGTGAGAGGAATTCAAAAATCAATTAATTACCAGAAACTGAAGCATTATTTTTGTTATGTTTATTGGTAAAATTATATTTCAAGAAATAGTTATTTATTATACACGACGATGAAGAAATTGTTTATCTATGAGTGAAAAGGTTAATTTTAGTGGACTTTTTTCACGAGTAGATAAACAATGTTTATCCACAATCACTCTATAAATAGGTTTTATTCCACACTTTAGATGCGTATAAAGTACCACTTTATCCACTAGTGGAATAAAGTAACTTTATTCCACTGTTAGTAACCAGCGCACCGCGTAACAGCTTACTACGTTTAGCCGAAAGCACATTTGGCGTGACGTTTAAATGTCAGTTTAATTTTTAATTAAGTTTAGAATAATTTGGGCTTGTGATTGGGGAAAAAACGTTATATTGCTGTCGTGTGTTAGTCGCGTTTTATCCACTTAAGAAAATTAACCGCTCGAACTGACGTTCTCGCAGTTAAACATTCTTGCGTGGATAAAATGCTATCTAACACACTCTTACAATAAATAACTATTATCGTCGTGTATAATATTTAGTTTTATTTTGTACTCACCTACCAGAATTTCTTGAATATAAACTGTAGATAAAAATTACTTTATTTCACAACACGATAAAAGACTATTTTATCTATTGAAATTAGTTGATAAAATATAAACAGTAGTTAAAAATGACTTTTACTTTTACTTACTTACTTACTTTTACTGACTTACTTTTACTTTACTTTTTACTAGACGATAAAAGAATACTTTATCTACTAAAATTAGTTGATAAAATCACTCTTTAACATTGAGTAGAAAATAACTATGTTTTATTTATTCTAGTTAACATTGTATTAAAATATATTTATTTTTGCATGGTGATTATGAAGGTTGAATTTTCATCACGATTAATCGTATCGAAAGTACTTTTTTAAACGATTTCTTTAGTTATTTCTATAGTTTCTATAGAATTCATTACAAAGAGCTCGCGATACATTACGATTTGATTTATTATCAAATTTGATATCTTTTCGGTCTTTGGGGTTCTTGGGGTTATCACTTTGCAAAATAAAAATGGAACTCTTAGTCAAATGCGACAGAATTTGACTACATCAAAGCTAGCACAATATTTTGAAAAGTCTCAATTTACATTTTTTTTTATTTAAGCATTTTTTTAAGAAATTTATAAGTGATTTTGCAGGTCTAGAAATTTTTAAGTCGGTATTTCTTGATATTTTCTTACTCTCCCCAACTGTCTTTGTAACACGATATTTTCAAAAGTCTCAATTTACATATTTAAAATTTGAACATTTTTATTTGAGAAATTTTTAAACGTTTCTTTTTGCAAATATAGATATTGTTTAAACCAGTATTTTTAGACACTTTCTTAATTTCTCCCACTGTCTCTTGCAACACGACGTTTTAAAAAAGTCTCGATTAATATTTTTTCAATTCAAGTATTTTTCTAAGAAATTTTTAAATGTTTTTTTGCAAGTGTAGAATTTTTTTAAGCCGGTATTTCTTGACATTTTCTTAGTCTCCCTAATTGTCTTTTGTAACACTATATTTTGAAAAGTCTCAATTTACTTTTTTTTTAAATTCGAGCATTTATATTTGAGATATTTTTACACGTTTTTGCAAGTCCATATATTGTTTAAACCGGTATTTCTAGACATTTCCTTAGTCTCCCCACTGTCTTTTGCAACACGGTGTTTTATAGTATATTACATAACGAGCACGGAAAGTGATAAATAACGCACAAGCGGGAAAGTTGCGCATGAGGCGTTAGCCGAGTGCAGGCAATACCGCGAGTGCGTTAGACACTTTCCTGCAAGTTTTGTACACTATTTTTCCTACGACCATAAATAATTTTTTTTCTTACGAACATATTTTTTTTGTTCATAACGATTTATTTTTTATAATGGATACAAAAATACGTTGAATAACAATTTATTTTTTATAATGGATACAAAAAAAATACGTTAAATGAAAAAATACAAAACATTCGAGTGTGAATTGTGCGTTAGATTTCTAACACACAGTGCGAAAACAAATCGCACAGGTTTTCGACCTCGMACGATATTGCCAATTTTCGCGCATATGTAATTGTGCGTTATGATCTAGTTTCGTATATGGTCGTAGGAAAAAAAAGTTTCGATTGACTTTTTTTTTAATTTAAGCATTTCTTTAAGAAATTTTTAAATGTTTTTTTGCAAGTCTAAAATTTTTATAATCCAGTACATATGACACTTTCTTAGTCTCCGCTGTTACAAAATTAAAAAAAAAATTACAAAAATAAATCTAATTCAAATTGTAAAAAGCATTAATTAAATCAAAATTTTATGAAGCTCAGAATAGTTTAACTTTTTCAAATTTATTTGAATTCAAACCTTGAAATATTTACTAATTCTTCTTAACTGAAACACAAACAAATAAAAAATTAACACTAATGACTTATCTGAATCTTTTTGCAAGTGGTAATCTTCCATTTTGTCCGGTCCAGTAAGTTTTGATGCAAAAAGTTTTTTTTTTTTGTTTAAAAAAAAAACTTTATTAAGCTTTACTAATTGATCATTATTTTGGCAAGTGGTGACCTCGACTTTTACGTCAAAAGGTAATAAATTCAAACAAAATTTACATAAATTAAAATTTTTACCCTTAGCACCTTTACAGAATATTTTATCAAAATTATTTACCATATAAACAAGTTAAGGTATTAAATTACGTACATAAATAAATATGAATAATACGGTCAATTATTTATTAATTACCTTATCATTATCTTTGTCACGCTATCTAAAATTTAAACACCATGAAGGTCTCATGTCTTTGGGCGTGGTCAAAACAATGTTTTTTTCAGTCTTATGTCGTTTGCACTTTGGGCATCCACCGTCTGAACTTGGTTTTCTTATCAATGGGTCTCCTGCAATCTATTGCTGCTTGCACTCTTAGTATGCTTCTGAGAACCATTAGAAGATACTACGTCGTGGGTAGGTGATGTCTTTATTCTGGTTTTGCATCTCCAACATTTTACTTAGCCGTAGGCTTTACGTTCCACGCTTGTTTATTGATGGTTCTAATACTATGGAAGCCTATAGAAGATGATCCTGCCCTTTTTTATGTCATCTCAGCGGCTTGGGGTGTCTGCAATGCCATTTGGGAAATGTTAAACTTCAGTAAGTCATTTATTAATTTTCATTTGATCGATTTATGTGATAATTATTGCGGATCTGATTAACATTCCTAACAGGTGTATGATTGTTAAGTTGCTAACATTAATATTAATTAATGTGATTAGTCAGTAAGATCAGGAATCATTATGAGGAATTGCTTTACAATTGCTCTTTTTTGCAATGTGTTTAACGATTATGTCATTATACAGAAATGCAAAAAGTTGTTGTCCAAAATTAAGAGTCACTGAGACAACTTTTGAAAAACCTTGTTGGCTCGTTATTATATACGAAGAAATAATATGTAAATTGGTGCAATTATTTATAACAATAGTTACTTACCGGAACTATGTAAAACTTAAACTCTTTTTCATTCATTTTAATACAAACTTAACAAATAGATAGGAATAAACATAAGATAATAATAAATTGTTATTATTATGATTAACAGCAAGTATAATAACTGTAATGGTAGTAATTTTGTTCAGCGATCTGGAAAATAAAAGTTGAAGTAAGAAAATGCGAAACTTAGAAAACTATTCATAGGAAACGAAAACAGGAACGGAATGATATTATAATTAGATTAGCATTGAATTCATTTAAGAAGACAATAAAAATCAAAAGAAATAAAATACAAAACCGAATGAAGCATGTGATCAAAAAAAGGACACTAATATAAAGGCATTATTGGCATGTTGGGAATAAAAAAGTTATAAGAATTTTAATTTGTGAAACAAAATACTACCTTTGTTTATTTATTTTTCTAAAGGCGCTAATGTTTGCAACTTGATATGTTATACAGATCGTCCCAAAATTAGCGGAACAGTTTTATGATACACTATTGTGGTAATTATGTTAACGAGAATGTTGTCAATGAAGACTCTTAGTATATTCTAGCCAACAATAGAATATAGAATTTTCCCTATGCTTTTTGTGCTTTATGTAGCAATTTATCATATAGGAGTTCCAAGAATTTTGATGCATTTGTAACAAAATTTAAAGTTTCAGAACCCAAAATTGACAAAACAACACTTTCCAGTTCCTAATAGTGCAGGCGCTAATGAATGTTTTTGGTACTAATTTTCCTAGTCACCGAATATCGATAAGATTGATAGGACCGTAATTTTAAATAAAAATTGTTTATAACATGTTGAAAATGTTTTAAAAATTATGTACAAATGCATTGCACTTTTTTATACTAAAAATAGTATGTACAGAATATACAGAATTAACAAGCTTAGCATATGGAATATTTCGCACAATTGGAAAAGTTTGTCTCACCAACCGAAGGTGAGTGTTACGGTTCTACGAGTGCAAAATATGCTACTCTAAACGAGACTATACTTTTTCTACGACTAAAATCACAGACTAAAATTTAGAAATTATAACAACTGTTAAGATAGCCGCTACCTGTGGCCATTTTAACACAAGTGTAAGAAAATTCTAGCCAGTGTTAGAGAAAATGAGTATTCTATAATTAAAAATCAACCAAGAATATTATGTTATTCTATAATAGTCGTAGAAAAAAATTGTTCTACGTCGGGTTCTACTAATAAGACGTAGAGTAAACCAGGGTGATATGGTGAATCGGGTGAAATGGTGACTTACTCTATTTCTTTTTTGGGCAGAGAAATTTCTCTGTAATTCTATATGACAGTTCTTTATGATCATTTGTGCAGCGAGCACCTATTGAAAACCAGTCCCGTTTTGAAAAGCGTAAGTAATTTGTACAAAACTGATTCCGATGCTCAATAATTTTTATACGGTGCAGGCGTTTGTAGATGTTGCTTCAGGTAGCTTACTCCGCGAGGTATTTTTTGATATGTTCTGCCTTTTTAGACTGTTTATACACTACATAAGCTAGACTTCGTTGCCTCTAGTATTTTGAACTGCTTGTTGCACTATTCACCGTTTCACCCCTGGCCAGTGGGAGAAATGGTGAACTCGGGCACCATATGCATGGGTGAAATGGTGAATTTGATAAAAACAAATATTGTTTTTTTTCTTCAAATTATTGTTTTGTCCTTAAGAGATTATGACACTGTTAAGTCGTTAACTATATATTTTATGAAAGAATAATTTTATTTTGTTTAAATAAACAATTTCTTGTGTTCTACAGGGCTAAATTTTTTGTTCACCATATCATCCTAGTTTACCTTATACTAACATTACATAAAAAAAGAAACTGACTCATCTGTAAACATAGTAAAATACTATTTTTTTACTTTTAAAATTAAATTTGCAGATCGCTGTTTTAAAAAAATTCCTTCTATCTATTTTAGTAAAACAAAAAGATTTATTTATAATGCAAACGTTAAGTTTAATTTATTCAATTAGTCACACAATTAACTCACCGGAAAATGTTATCCAAAATCAAGAATTGTTGATTGGTATCCCCAACTGAACAATCCTATAATGGTTGAATACTAAGAATATTAGTACAAAAAAATTCACCAACTTCTAGTTGGTAGTTTTCAGTTTTTTTAAAATCAACCCATTTTTTCTTGTAACGGTATGCATATTACATAATATATTTATTTAAATATTGGGTGTGTCGTAAATTTTGAATAAAACTATATAGCTCTTCATCCTATAAAGCTCTTCATTTTCTAATAAATAGTAATTTTATACAGGATAGTCCCGAAATAACCTGCCAACAAAGAAGGATTCAATAAGTCCGGAAAACCCATTTTTATTAGGTCGAAAATAATGGGGATAAATTAATCCCTATCCACAAACATTCGACGCTACTGACCACAAAAATTACACATAGTCAAGAATTGTTAGTGTTTGTAATTGTTAGTGTTTGTAATAAGAATGACAATATATAAGCAACCATGCCTGAATCATTTGTGACAAATCAGACAAAATAGACCAATTTACCGACATTTATTGTACGCAGTGTGCGTTAAGTCACCAGGTGATCTGGGTACAAAAAGATGATTTTGTAACCTAAGAAAAATGTGAAATGAATAATAAAATAATAATAACAAAAGTGGTGTTCGTCAAGATATTAAATAATTTACACAAAATTCCAAATGAAAAAGTCCAAAATCAACAGAAAAATTAACTTGTCTTTTCACTGAATCAGAATAATGAAATTTTAATTACAAATTTGCTCGTTTCAGGTGAAGCCAAAATGTTGTTCCTTTGCAGTTTTAGCGTAAAATGAAAGATTTTTTTTCCTCTTGTAAACTCAATCCGGGGACATATTGTAGATTCAATATTTTTTATTTTACAAAAATCTCACAAATTTTACAAAGTAGATCCCACAAACTTATATTGGCAAAAAGGTCATAAAAAATGCTACGCAACGATGTAATAAAATATAGGATTTTGTATTAGAAAAAGTCAAGTTATTGTCATTTGTAGTTTGTTATTTTCAAAAAATCGTAGTAAGCGATGGAACATCAACTTTGAGTTTGCCCTTATCTCAGAAAATGCACCAAAGCTTAAGGAATCGATTGGTTATGTATTTTTCCGTGGGACTATGCACGACATTATTTTGACATAGAAATTGACATAAGTCAAAAACTATTACAGATAAGTCTAAGAAACAAAATGCATTATATCGACAATTTAGTGGCAAATTCAAAAATGTAACAAAAATTGGGGGTTTTCATTTAAAAAAAACAGAACTTAGTTCTGTATCTTATTTTGAGGCATCCTGTATTAAATAAAAATATTTCTGAAATATGCTACATTATCGGACCTACAATTAAAAAAAAATTAAGTCTATAGCTTAGATAGAAAAAAAGTTATAGAGCTTGCATGTACTCTTGGATCACCCTGTATTTACGAAACTGTGTATTATAATGTTCTCGCGTTAAAAAACAGTCATTTCACACACTTAATACAAAAATAACTATTGTTATTTCAAAAAAAAAATTCTTTATTTTTATTTATTCTCTAAATAAAACTTCTTATGAGTACATAACTGTTTTTCCGTAGCTCTTTTGACTGGACTCTACAGCGACAACTGGGAGTCTGCGTTTGCCAATTCGGCTTTCTTCCGTTTCTTGGGGTTGAGTATAGCGTTTGCGTTTCATGGGGTCCTCTGCAATTACTACAAACTCTACGCCCTGGGCTTCTTCCTTTTGACAGCAGTCGTTCCCTTTGTTTGGTTGGAAGTTCGACTGGAGAACATGCGCAAAGTCAAAAATATCATTCGGTTATGACCTAAACTTAACATTTGGTGATTCCTCATTTAAACATATCATTCACATTTGACGTCACTTTGAATGTGATGTTTGTACATATTAATATTAAAAAAAGGTTGTTATAACACCTCTTCAATGTATATAAAATTGTTTACTTCCACAAATAAAATCTCAGTAAGAAAACTATAACGTTATATTTAAATTTAATAATTAAATACACATCTTGTACATCTTTGTAGTCTACTATACATTCTTGGACCCTACTAGTTTCTCGGGTATGAATATAATGTTTGTGTTTACAGAGAGTTAGGCTTCGTCTGAAACCAGCACTAAACAAAACTTACAATTTGTAATTTTTCTCTAGTGCGAAAAAAATCATTAAGGCCCGGTTTCTGAAAACATATTTAACAGAGAGATAAATTTAAATCTCAGTTAAACCATGGCAACACCAATCAAATCAACGCTACCTTAGCAACTATCAAACAGTTAAATTACCAGAAATCGGGCCAAAAGGCGTTTGGAACATTTGGTCGGGGTAGTGAGACCAAAATTCTTATGAAAAATATACTAAAACAGGTAAGTACGCCCAGAAATCGCTTGTCACACTAACTAACATTACTTTCCGTACTCTACATCGTTCGATAAAGTTATTGCAAATCTAAGCTTTTTTCTATTGTGTGTTTGTTTTTGCATTAATTTAACATTTAACGTATTATTTAACGTATTACAGCATTCACAAAGTAAACAAAGTTGCATCTAACATTCAAATCCATGTTGTTTAGTTGCACGTTTTCGAACATGGTATTTGAAAGCAATGTATTTATAAAAACAATTTGAAAAGTGTATGTTTTTTTATAAAAAACTGGCTAAATAAAGTAAAAATTGGTCTTCTAACAATAGCTTAGGCGGTCGGGGTTTATTTATCCCACTACCTAGCGATATCCCAGTGCCGTCGCGCGATTGTTTGCGAGCCGAATTTCTGAAATGTAATCATTTAATTTTTGAATGTCGTACCATTAGATAAAGCTGTAAATGTCCATTGCACTACTATTACAATTTGATAGTTGTTATTTTAATATTTTTTAGTGAAACTCAATGTACGAGTTTCCGCTACGTAGAGTCCGTTTTTCTAAGAGTTACATGGGCGAGATCGAGAATCTGCGCGAACTTTTAGAGAAGGGAGCTTAAATCGCTTGCCAGTGGCGTAACATACTTGGTGGAGATAAAAAACTCGTACAGCCAAAATTTTAATATTGTAAATCAAAGTCTGCAGTGCCAGTCAATACGATAAAATGGGTTTCACTGAAACTCAAAAACAGACTATAGCACGAAATTTAAGAGACGGTATTTCGATACGGGCAATTGCTGCTGAAGGTGATGTTCAGCAGATTCAAATTTGAGCTATTTTAACATCTGAGTCCGTCCGTCCTATCAAGCCTATCCATACATAACCTTTTTTAAAAAAGCGATGTTTACACAACTCAAATTTATAATTTTCGGATCTGTTGTTCGTCATCTGTGTATGATTTTTTTTTAACCATGGTACATTTGTTATTAATTATTGAACATTTTAATTTTAAATAATACCAGTAAAATAAAAGATTTAACAATGTTCACAATAATTTTGCATCACATTCTTTACGTAGGTACCAAATAAAAACTTGAGATATTAAAAAAAAATTGTTACCAAAATACACACTTAACAATTAACAAAAGACGAAAAAAAACAATTTGATTTATGCTTGCTAATGGCCGTTTTGCGTTTGGTATGGGTAAGTGTAAGGAAAATTAAAGTACGCTACTGATGACATGCAACCCCTACGTTAAACATGCGCGTTACAAATTTGGTCTTAAATGTGTTACTGGGCCATTATATTGCTGTGTACCTCTTAGAAAAACGGACTCTACGGCACTGGGCGGACTCTTGCTACGAGTGGTGAGAGGGGATTGGGAGACAACAAATCCCGACCACCTACAAGATGTTTCAAGCTGCAAAATTGTCGGATCATTTCTTAGGTGGTGATAAAAGACATCCAACTAAGTTAAAAGTTCCCATGACAAAAAAGTTTTTGGCCGTTTCAATTATGTAATCTTGAATTTAGTTAGCGGAAACGGCAGATCTTGTAAGACTAAACTCACAATTTGTGTCTTATGGTCCAAAAAACAGGTGACAAACTAACAAATTCAACAATAAATAAATTAAGAGTTGGTCCGACATTTTTGAAGAATCACCCTGTATAACACTGGCAATAATATTTCAACAAAATAATATAACTAAAATCGTGCCCACATAATTATGTTAAAAAAGTTAAGTTAAAATCTTAACATTACAAAAGAATTAGAATTTCTGAATTCGGAAACCTGATTTCAAATTCGGACTATGACTTCTTAGTTTTGGTTTAGAGGGAAACTTTTTACTTGACGTAAATTTTCACCTTAAAACTTAAAATTAAGGCAAGAGTACATTCTGAAATTTAATCTTTACAATAAAAATTTTGTTTTTAATTTCAAATTTCATATGGTTGCTGTCAAAAAGTTCGAAAACATATATAATATTATGCAACAATTGTTATAAACGATACTTTAGTCATGAGTTTTATGACGAGCAAAAGTGTTTAATAAATAAGTGCCTAAGAAGATTATAAAACGTGTTGCATACGAGAATTATACTTTTTCTACGACCAAATAAACAAATAAAACGTAAATTATTTCAATTCAATGACGTACTTTTTTAAGCTGAATGCCAAACTGATAAACTACAAGCTTGATATGTCAAACAAAATATGCAACAGCTTAATAATGAACAGACGTATTTAAAATGACGCTTTGCACACTTGTTAGTGCAAAATGTGACACTTTAGAAAAGAGAGTAGAAAAACACATTTTAAAAATGCTTTGCACCTTACCAGAATTATTATTTGCAACTTTGCTTTCTTACTGGATTAAATCTTGTTTTTTGAGTAAATTTTATAGTTTTGCACTGTCATCGTCATTTGATTTTAAAATACAAAGGTATATAATGTGTTTTTTAATACCTGCTAATAGGGATCAAATTAAGATTTTTAAATTACTTATACAGGGTCGCTAAAAAGTATGGATACAGTTAAATATTATAAAAACTGTTCATCAAAACTTATTGAAATTTGGTATACGCTTAAAACTATTTAAATTACATCGTCTCATATGTTTATCAAATTTTTATCGCCATTTGTTCTGGGGATGGGATACAAGACTAACCTGATTTTTTTTTATGTCAAGAAAGGTCAAATTTAACATTTTTAAGAAGCACATTTTTTCTGTGATGTAACACATGCATACCTTATTTAAAAAAAAAATAATCGAATTAATTAAATTTTGAAAAATGTAATTTTTTTTATCCTTGGAAATGTTTTTTTCTATCGTTAGCTTTTTGCCGCCTGAACTTTGACCAAAAATAGATAAACTGATTCCCAAATTTCAACGTACTCTGCTAAACTGTACTGAAAATATTTAGCTGTATCCATACTTTTTAGCCACCCTGTGTGTTTTCCTCGATGTTTTCTGAATTTAACAATATAGCACATGCATATTTAATTTTTTACCACAAGAGCAAAATTGATTTTTAAAACTTATTAAATCTAAACTAAAATTAAATATGAAAAGCAGTTATGGTGTATATTATAAAGTGTTTAATATAATATTATATTATATCACAAGGTAGAAATGAGATTTTTTAAACCGAGCTGTTTTTTTCCTGAGATGTAAAGCATCGAGAGAAATAATAAATGCGAGGCTATAAAAAACTTCTCCATGTGTTTTATATAATATTTTTTTCACTACTAACATATTCATTACCCAGAAATACAACAGTATAAAATATAACCTTAGGTATGTACCTTTTTAATGGACATGTTGCCATGTTGTAATTCACAACATTATTTTTGTTAATTCACTGTTACCTACAGTAATTAATTGTTTATCTGAGTTATTAACGTAAATTGGAAGTATGCATTAATTTATGCTTATCGTAAATGAGGTTATGCCATTTTTGTACTTCTGCAACTGTTAAAGCAATTTTCGAACTTCATAATAAGAAATAATTGTTAAAATAACAAAAAAAACTGCAAAAAAAGGTAAAAAGAGTTAAAATTTGTGCTACTACCGGTAGGATTTCAACATGAAATAAACATATTTGTTGTTTTAACAATTTTTGACATAGACAGAAGTATTTGAGTTGGGGTTATTCTGATGTTTTTAATGAGGAAATTTAAGTCTTGTTTTATTTAATTTTGCATTAATTTCATTTAGAAATACTTCTGTTAGTACTTGTGATGGTAATAGTTTTCAATAATAATATTCTAGGAATATTATAATACATTATAGCCCTTGGTCCATAATGAAAATGATTATTGACTACTAGGAAAGAAAAACAACTTCACAACCTCTCGACAAACTAAATAATGGTACCCTTTACAGCTAGTAGTGAAAAATTAGTACATTACAAACGAGGTGGTAAATATGGCATTACCCCGAGTGCTTATGTATACGATCGAGAGGTGCCAGCCTCGAGATCGGATAAAACACAAGGGGTAATGCCATTACCACCGAGGTTTGTTAGCTATTTTATTCAAAATCACACCATTTTTAGTCAAAAATGTGAATAAAATAAAATTTTAACAAAGTTGAGGTGCAAACGTGGTAGGCCATCCAAATTGCGTTTGATTTTTGACATTTCAGAAATGTCGAAAACCAAAATATTGACATGTGAAAAAAATTGACATGTGTGAATATTAAAACTGTTGAAATGGTGACTACTAATACTCCCCCAGAAGTAAGAAAAACTGCTACAGAAGCACTTGAATACTAATTTAGCAAAATATTATGCACATGGAGGTAGTATTTACTATACTATAACTATAATAGGTCCATGATTATGCATAACTTGACAGCTTGAAAGAAAAAATTCCCGGTATTTTCTAATCTTACTGTTGGCAAATCTGCATTTTACCGCCCAAGAGATAAAATAATATTACTGGTCATGAGATTTATGATGTGTTTCCCAACTTTTAAAACGTTAGTAATCGGCATATTACATTAGTAGTTGTGAATAAAAACACTTATGTGCTTCCGTCAGTCGTAAATTTTTCTTTAATTTGAAACATCATTCTACAAATTGTAAATAACGTTGAACATGATTTTCTTTAACGCAAAATTTGAACAATTATTTGCAAAACCGTGTATATTACCATTGTTACTTTACTAATAAGCAGGTAGTTCTCTAAGTTGGTGTGTTTTCTTTAAACTTTATATTTTGATTAAATGACTTTTAAAAATTATTCAGTTTACTATTGCGATAAGATATACGTGTGCTATCCAGTTAAATTCTGTGAAAAATGCTCTTTTTAAAGAAGTTCTACTGACTTAAAATTATCTTAAAAATTATAATATTATAGTATAAAATTGAAAAAAATTATACAAAATTATACAATTATACAAATTGTACAACTGTGCATACTTAAGCAAAGTTTCAAAGGATTTTCTGGTATAAAACGTTTTTAAATTGTGCAATCGTTTCTGAACATTTTGGCCACTTTGTGTGAATAAACACAAGCATAAATTATTGACAATAGACAAATTTTCACTAGTGATGATAAGAAAAGCAATTTCTGACAATCTTACCTTAAAATAAATTGAATTTAAGAATCCTGGCCTAAATAAAAACACCATAAAACAAATACAGGCACTACACGCTACTCTCTCCTTTAATAGTCATTTCAAGAGGATAAACATATTTTTTCCGTCTAACAAAACTAGGAGACGTCCTCTCACTGTTAATATTAAGTCCGCTTAAGAGAGGCAAAGCCTCAGTTCGAGAAAAGCACTCTTCTTCGCTGTTACGTCTTTTCACACACAAAATAGTTTTGGGAACTGGCGTATCAGGAATTATCCGAGGGGAGGTGACACGAGTTTCGCCACTTTTGTGTTTGCGGCCTTTGAATAGGTGCCAGTGTTTGCGAGGTGAGCTGTAATCGGTCGAAACCATGCTACTGTCGATATTGATGACCTGTGGGTTGAATGTGACGTTCTTGGTATCGGATGGGGTGCGACAAACGCTACCGGAATCGACACTGTTGGGTTTAGAAGTTTCGGCGCTTCGACTGACAAATTGGAGGGAACGATGCTCTTCGTCTAAATTCAGATCGATGGCAAAGTTGGAGATGATGTCGGGATCGATGTCCTGTATAAAATAGTTTTATTGGTTTTTTGTTTAAAAGTATGGAATTTAAAAGAAGAGATTGAAAAGTGAAAAAAAAATGTTTCCATAAAAACATTGAAATATGTATTTGTATTTTCTAAGATAGGTATGCAACTTGGATTTTGGAGGTTGGATTTTCTAAGTAGGTACCTCATTTCTAAGTCAATTTAATAATTGTAACAATGTTTGCCAATTAAAAATAAAGAAACTCTAACTCTGTTGCTAACTGTAAATACATACAGGGTGTCAATTTTAAAACTTGCAATTGGCAATATCTCTGGAACTAAAAAAGTTATTGAAAATGACTCAAAACCGTTTCGGTGGTTCCTAGGGGGAATCAAAATGACATGATAAGTGACGCCCCTCCACCCACCCTTAAAGCCACAGCCCCCCAAGTTGAAAATTTTAAATGGCACAACCCTACTTGTGATACATCGTTGGAAAGCTCATAACAAGCGCTTTTCAAAAATATCAACAACAGCCTATTTGATAAAGCCATTTTCCAATTATTCAAAAAAAAAACTTTACATTTTCCATTTTTCTTTAATAAAAGAAAAATTATTGTTATTTACAAAATACACAACCAAAAAGATGATTTCAACCCAATAGAGTGCGTTTCATGTTTTGTGTCTGTTTTTTTTTTGTCTTTTGAGTCTTATCAAAGCTGCCAAAGCAGCCTGGGTTTTGTATCGCTATGCTGATTTTGATTACATTGATGTATCTGTCTTTGTAAATTCGTACTTTCCATTTATCAACTGTTCCTGTCAACGATATTGTAAACTATAACTAGTTAACAATGGTTTATAGTACAGCAGAGCGTCTTGAATTAATACTTATTTATGGTTCTGAAAATCGTTGTGCTCTGCTAACGGCTGCAGTCTTTAATAACAAATATCCAGGAAAACATGTCAGTCATGCGTACGTCCAGGAGTTAGTCGCCAAATTTGAGGAAACAGGATCTGTTAATAATAAAAAAAGAAGGCAACCAAGACTACTCACTGAGGAAACTCAAACTGAAGTGCTTGGACAATATGCCATGAATCCAACAATGTCGACTCGTCAGGCAGCTAGGGAAACTGGATTATCACACGAATCAGTACGAAAGGTGTTAAAACTTCATAAATTTCATCCCTATAAAATGCAAGTTCTCCAAGAACTTAGCAAACAACGGAAATCATTTCCAACATCTAATATAGCACTTAATGAAAATTAATCACTTACACATTGTTGCATTTTATTTTTTAATTATTCAGAAACGACTTCATCACATTACTATGTTTTAGGTGAAAGCATTTTGAAAGCGTTTTAGGAAAGCATTTTTTAAGAGCTTTTAAACATTTCAAGTGTTTCTTTTTGAGTAATTAAAAACGGCTTTAACAAATAGGCATAGCGGTGCACAAACCAGGCTGTTTTGCCAGCTTTGAAAAGATTCAAAAGACAAAAAAATCATACACAAAACATGAAACACAGTCTATTGGGATGAAATCATCTTTTTGGTTGCATATTTTGTAAATAACAACAATTTTTCTTTTATTACATCGAATAATTTTATAATAAAAAATAAAAATGTAAAGTCTTTATTTTTGAATAATTGGAAAACGGTTTTACCAAATTGGCTGTTGTTAACATTTTTAAAAAGCATTTGTTATGAGCTTTCCAACGATGTATCACAAGTAGGGTAGTGCCATTTAAAATTTCCAACTTGGGGGGCTGTGGCTTCAAGGGTAGGTGGAGGGGCGTCAGTCACCATGTCATTTTGATTCCCCCTAGGAACCACCGAAACGGTTTTGAGTAATTCTCAATAGCTTTTTTGGTCCTAGAGATATTGCCGATTGCAAGTTTTAAAATTGACACCCTGTATGTATTTTCCTCTTTCTTTACAAAAAAAACAAAATTTCTGTTACTGTTTTACGCGCTATTAGTGTGATGTCAATAAGCTAAACACCTTTGAACCTTTGAAGCTAAACAAATAAAAGTTTATTTCTTGAATCCTGGACGTGTAGGGAGATTGTTTCTAAGGAAATAGTTGCTATGAAAAATGTGTGTCGTTTCGTAATGGATTTAACAATTGTAGTCAACATTTTTGTAATTTAATCTGTTCTAACCTCACCCTTTGTGTACTTCAAAGTATGTTGACAGTGTTGCCAGAATGTTGCAAACGACAGATATCAAATGGAGTGTATAGGTAGTACGAAAACAAAACAAAATAAAAAGTATTAACATTCACACAAAGTGTATTTGGCTGAGAATTAAATTATTATTTGTTCACAAGTAAATATAAATATCTAGTAAAAAAATCTAGTATTAATTTGGTACTATAGTATCACAACTGGCAACACTGTATGTTTAGCTTCAGTACAGTCTCGTCTGTGACGTCACGACTAATAGCGTGTATTGCAATTTGTTGAAGGGCTGAAACTGTGTTTTGAAAATCGTCAAAATTTGGACAAGAAAAGTTAATATATTTTAGTTTCTTTTAGTTCCTTTCTTTAATTTTGATTCTCAGATATTACCCCAGTAGCTGTATGACTATTAAAATTCCCCGTGAACGTATCTGAACAATGCCACGTTACTTTTCGTTAAATACAGGATGTTTCAGAACTCGTACTCCAGAGAAAAATTGCAAGTAAGATAAGATACAGTCAATCGATTTGAAAATGTCGTGTCCATGAAATGAGCCGCTGGGCTTGCTGTCGCTCTTCCGACCGCAAACATCCCCAATAAAATCATTTCGCATCTAAAATTAAAGATTCTTTACCTAAGAACATTTGCAACGAAATGTGAAGTTTCGTATCTACTAGAATTTTAATATTTTATTATAATTGATTGTTAGTTACATATTGTTTCAAAGATAAAACAATCTATTAAATCAAATGCTTTAGATATAGTAAAATTCTCATTAGTAAACTACACAAAAAAATTTAATTATTATTATAATTTAATTTTACTCGCATTGTTATGGTTAATCTAACATTGTTTAATTTTTTTCTGTGTTTTGTGCCTCTGCTTTGGCTTCTGCGTTCTGCCTCAAAAAAGTCTTCATTTTAATATTCAAAAAGACAATTAATTAATTATTTATTATTATTTTTTATTAATGTAGGCTGTTCCAGCTAAACCCCACTTTAGAAGTATTAAAAGTTTAAACAATGATATTTTGTTTATAGCCATAATCGGTTTTGCTCAGTGAAAATATTTCAAGACGGCGGCACTTCCGGTTACACCGTTGCGTTTTTGGATTATTCTAGTAATTTTCAGCGAGTTTTTATGTGTCCTCCTTAAACTTAAGTTTAACCGTTTTCGAAATATTTAAAGTTTTTTTAAATTATTTTAAATTTGCACCTTTCTATTCAAAAATCAATGACTCTACCATTTTTAATTATTTTAGAATCGTGTTTGGGCCTATAAAAGAGAAAGGCTAGATCTTGTCTTTGGTGAATTCATAATTGCAAAAATAATTAACAAACAAAATTTAAGGTTGCGTTTGGGAAACTTCAAATATCCTTAACTCAATTTTTCTAAATAAAACACCCCCAATTTTTTCTTGAAAAATACCAGGGTTATCGATTTTTGAATAGGGAGGTCCAAATCCAAAACAAATCAATATACTATTAGGAGACTCTTTCCTATAAATAATGTACTTTTTTTACTTTGGCTCACTAACAAGCTATTACTTTTGATTGTTTATTTAAATACATTGATTGTTTATTTAAATACATTTAAATACATTAACTCAAGCATTTTCAAATCATCGACAAAATTAGTCAATTTTTTAATAATCTGTAGTGCTACTCGTATTTAATAATCTTAAAAACGCGAGTAAAATTAAATTATAATACTTAATTATTAAATTTATTTTTTTCGTGCAGTTTTCTAATGACCATTATAACAGCATAACTAACAACCAATTATAATAAAATAATAAAATTTTAGTGAATACAAAACTTCACATTTCGTTGCCAATCTTATGTAAAAAATCTTCAATTTTACGATGCGGAATGATTTATTGGGGATGGTTGCGGCCAGAGAGAGACAGCAAGCCCAGCGGTTCGTTTTATAAACACGACATTTTCAAATCGACTGATTGTACATACCTACCAGGCCGCGAGTTCTAAAACAGTCTGAATGGGTGCGCCAGGACTCCCGTCCCAGAGAAGGTAAGACACCAGAAACGTAAGACACCAGAAACGTAAGACACCAGAAACATAGAAAAAATGTTAAAAAAATTCTTTTCTAAAAAAATTTTGAAGTTATGAGAGTTTAAATTTTGCACTTTGACTCTATTTATTTCTGTTGGAAAAAAATTCCAAGTTTTTTTTTGCTACAGGTTATTAGAAGAGGCTTTTATTGTCAAAATTTTTGAACTTTTACTAAATAATTATTAAAAAACATATACAAGATCATCAGTATCACTAAATAGACATAAAAAATGTCAAATGTCAAAAAATAAATGTCAAAATTTTTTGACAGATATTTTTTTAATAATAATAAGAATATTTTTTCATGTTCCTGGTATCTCATCTTACTTGAAATTTTTCTCTGGAGCGCGAGTTCTGATACAACCTATATGTATGACCAAAAACCACCTTATTTGGTAACATTTTTTATTTACTAGAATAGCTTTGAACGCTCGCATATTTGTCTTCAAATGTTGTTTTACATTTTATGATACCTACTTGTACCCAAAGAAGTAAGCAAGTAAAACTTCTGCAGAAGTAAAGACATCAAATTGTGACAAATTTGCAAAACACGTGTAGGTATGTTAAGATTAAACTTTCATAATTGCTAGTGTTATAAATTGAAATCAAGGTTGCAATAAATAAAAACAATTTTGAAAGGACCTGTTACTTATCTCATATTTTTTAAATTACGAGCAACTAATTTTTCAAATAAATTAATACTTTCTATTTGGGAGAGCAAATAATAATTTTCAAAGTAATATTTTTTGCTGGCATGTAAAATAGCAAGTTAATATTGCATTTTCTATTCAAAGAGTATGTATAAAAAAATTATATAAAACCAGTTCATTACAGTATATTTAAAAAAACAATTATTGTACATACAACTGATATTTTTTTATTGTAAGCTATTTTTTATATTTTTAATTCAACCACGAGTGATACACTCACTTTTGAATATTTTAACAAAAAGAAAATATAGTTTTGTTTCAATTCAAACACTTTTTTAAAGCAAAATGAATTAAAAGTTTTAACATAGAAACCTAAGCCGTATCCTGATATAATAAGCATTTCTAACTTAATTAAGAAAGTAGTCGGTCAACAATAATATGCATATGCTGACATTGAAGTTGTTCTACTCTATTCATGTTTCTATTAATAATAATGAATGAATGAATGAATCAATTATTCCGATAATAATTATAAACGTATTTTCGAAATAAGTTCAATAAAAGTTATTTTAACCAGTGACAGATCTTAAGAACAACAAAATTGTTATATATTCTTTTTGTTAAATCGATGTTTTTTTGAGGTATTTTGGTATTGTGCCCCCTGAAAGTAGACGAGCCGTTTAGTTCACCTAAAAGCAATGGTCGTGAATTTGGGAGTTTTTTACCGGGTCTCAGCTGACAATTTTTATTGAAGTTTTAAATCTGATCGGTGTTGTTTTGTGATAAAATTTTATAATATTTGGTCAAATGGTGCCGAAGTTATTACAAAAAAACAACAATTTTTCATACTCAAATTCCGAGGGCTGTAGAATTCTTATCAGTAGAGATAGGACACGAGTTATCATTTATATTCACATTATTTTATTGGCCTTTTTTAAGGGTTAGATAAGGTTTCATATTTATTTTAATTTTTTTTTCTCACCCTACACAGGGTGAGAAAAATTTCAAGTAAGATAAAATACCAAAAACAACAAGAAATGTTTAAAAAATTCTATCTGTCAAAAAATTTTGACATTTATTTTTTGACATTTGACATTTTTTTTGTTTATTTAATGATAATGAAGATCTTGTATATGTTTTTTATAATTATTTAGTAAAGGTACAAAAAATTTTGCGAAAAATAACATTAAACAAAGTTACAATTTAAAATACAGCTTTCTTGTTTCCTCTTCTAATAACTTGTAGCAAAAAAAACTTGGAAAATTATTTTTGCAATAGAAATAAATAGAGTCAAAGTGCAAAATTTAAACTCTCATAACTTCGAAATTTTTATAGATAGATTTTTTTTAAATTTTTTCCATGTTCTTGGTATCTTACCTTACATGGCGTTTTTCTCTGGGACGCGAGTTCTGGCGCACCATATATGTATACTAAGTGACATAGAAAACAGAACACTTAGTATTTATAAATATATCGCAATAATTTTTTGTATATTTGTTTAGTATATAGTTGAGACAAGAAACGATTAAATTTTCACCCAAATCAGTTCATTGGTTCTTGTTTTATAACATTTTACTTCTTAAAATACGATAAACTATGGTAGACTGTTTTAGTTGCAGAAAACACACGATTATCGTACAGTAAATTTTCTAGTGTTTTTTTTTTGAACTGAATAAAATGTCCTTGACGAGTTCTACACGTGGTTAAAATTATTGCACTTCTTTCAAAGACACGTTGTATAAATGTATAAATTTAAAAAAACATATTGCTTACCTGTGGGGTGGACGGAGATTGGACAGTTTTGCTCGTCTTTGGATTATCATCAAACATGTCAAAATGTGTTTCCAAAAAGCCCGAATTATTGTTAAAAAAATCTTTGCATCCAGCACTCGCCAAAACATTATCTAAAATATCTTCGGCTGATTGAAACTCGTCACTTTCACAACATTTTATTTCCGGATCATTACATTTACTCGAAGCGGCTGATTCATAACTGAGATTACTGCTGGAATTTGTGGCCGGACTGTCGCTATTCGAACACCTCAAAAAAACTTCCGCTTTTTGGAAATTCCTTACGTTTCGAATATCATCAGCACAAGTGCTTAAACTGCCGATGATTTTCGGTGTTCGTCGCATAATTTTCGGGGTGTTGATCTCACAAATCGTTGTTTGGGTGACCAAAACACTGGCTCTAGAACTAATACTGGAAACCTCCGACAGACTCTCAGGACTGGCCAACGGTGCCAGTCCGAACCAGTCGTCGTGAATTAAGTCCAGTTTCAAGGCAGGACTTGGTGTTTGTCTCTTGAGCGTCAAACTTAAACTTTTCGTTATAGGGAATATGGGTGAGGGTTGGCTCCTAGTTGAGTAGTAGCCGTTAGTGACGGAAGAGGCATTGCTAGGAGCACTACTTGGACTCTGTAATGATGTGAAACTTGTTTCCAGATACACTCGATGTGGGGGAGTGGGACTGAGACCAGAAAGGAGACCATCCTCCTCCCAGCATTTTTGGGGATTGCTCGAAGAGGAGCGTTGAGGTTTTCTCGGGCCAAGTGTCGTTACAACCTGAAAGGATTCAAAACTCCTTAAACAAGTTATTTGAATAATTTTAGCATGCAGTAGAGGATTTTTTTTACAAATGTCCTCGTTTTACATTTAATTAAAATAAAGACATGCAGAGACGTGCACGCCATCTGCATCCAAACACTCACTTTGACACATGCTTGAAACATTCAAAGCTTGTTTTTATAGTTAGATTAGCATATTTTTTTTTTCTACATTGCATTATCTGTCTGTTCCACTTTTAATATCTTTTGCACAAGAACTAACATTTTATTCTTTCCAAGATTATCTTGCAATGACAGAATTTTGAATTATTGTTGAAGTAAATTTTATGTTTTATACCGGGTGGGGCATCAGTTACGCGCACTTGATAAATCGCGACTTCAAATTAATTAAAACTGGCGATATTTCATATACCTAACTAGTTATTGATAGGCTATAATTTGAGAATTTTTCTATTTTTTTTGGATAATAAATGAGTCCGTAACAGTTTTGTGTGTTTTATGAATACTTTCTGTTAATTTACCTATAAAGTTTTTACACTAAATGAATCTGTACCTGTCAGCGCATCAAACTTTGATATCACAATTTCAAATTTTGACTTGGTTAGTCAAATAATGGCTTTTTAGTTAAACACAAACCAGACCCGTGATTTATGACAAAATGGTATACTTTGCCAACAAAAGAATCATTTACTGGTAGCCGACCGCTTTAAAGGGTCTTTTTGTTGTAAACCTTGGAATCTTAGCCCAATTGCAGTTCCCCATTGTCACCTAAATTTACGATGGCACAAGTAGCAGGTCATAAATAAAAATGATTTTCAAAGTTAAGATGGGAAATTGCGTTTAATTCAAAATCTAATTGGTATTTTTTTCTCTGATTTTGTAAACAATTGTAGGAAGTGAATCTGCGTAGGTCAGTATAAAAATTAAAATTAAACTTTTTGGGAGAAAATTCCTTTTTATTTTTTTTTGGCTTTGTTTGTGAATGAAAAATTTCCAAAAAATTAGAGAATGTACCTTACTAATGCCCAGGTAAGTGTGAAAAAATTCAACAATTTTATTTAATTAGAAGTGGGGATTTTTTTTCTGCGCGTAACCGATGCCTCTCCCGGTAGATGTAGATTTATAGGTTTACAAAATACGGGATGTTCAACATAATTTTACGAGGCCTGCGCCTGCAAGATGCAATCAATAATACCTATTCCAATACGAACTCGATTACAAATTTTGAAAAATGGGATAATCTTCTCTAGTTTGTTCACCCTTTCAATAATTACAACGTTTTTAGTTGGTTAGTGATTAAGGTAAAGTCTGTTTTTTTTAATGGAATTGTCAAACAGTCTTAACGTTGGTACCCCTAACAAATTCATACATGGTAATTTTAATAAAGGAAGTTGGCAGTTCCGAATTTTGAATTAATTAAAAAGCAAAAAAATCGTCCAAAAAAATTTAGAAATGAAGACACAAAAACGGGGACAAACTGGGTACCACGAACAGTTTTTGGAAATTTGAAGACGAAAGGTGTGTAAGCGGAAGTCAGAAAAAGACCACCGCTAAAATTTATAAGCGATTTGTAATGCAGGGTTGCTAAACATTTTCTAATTTTTAGTGAGAAATTGATGAGAATACAACATAAACATCAAAGAGAAAGAACGCAATTAAATTAGTAGGTCTGGTTGCACCGTTTCTGAAGAACGAGTTGAAAAAGTAACAATTTTGAAACTAAAACTGAAGAAGAATTTAGAAAATGCATCAACTTTGGGCTCATTTCAATAAATTACACAAAATTTATTGACGTTCTTCATCAACCCTGCTTGTATCTTTTGCAAAATAACTTTTTTCTATAGAGACACCCTTTTTTATTAAAGTTTTTGTAGTAAAAAGCTCATTTTCCACAACATTGTACTTACTTGCAGTGTGGTACTATCAATATTATTAGCATTGAATTCTGTCTTTGGACATTAGGTAGTGGTGCCTGTCTTCAGGTATTCGATTATAAAAGCTTACAAAATTACAACATGAAAACATAACCATAATTTTTTAACAGAATTTCTAGGGATTAAAACAAAAAACAAACAAAATTTGTGGCTATGGAGATAAGCTACTACCAATTTTTTCACTAAAATTTTGACTTGATAATTTCCATTTAAATGAAAAACAGACTTTAGATAAACTAGAATCATATTCATGCCATCTGTTGATAGAACAAATGATAATTGTTTCTGAAAAACTGCAGTTTATGACTATTAATGAAACAGGGATTAGTATGACAACTACCGTCATGGGTTTCCAAAAATTAAATAATTATAATATATTCACTAAACTCCTGATATGGCAAAATGACGTTAAGTTAGTTAAACAAAAAGTCACTATAACTATGTTGGTGACAACTTCACTCAAAGTTAACCTGGTTGCTATCACTTGATTTGAAATGATTTAATTATTATCGTTTGACACATGTGCCGTGTACCATGGAAATTTGATATCAAGTACAGTCAGTTGAAATAATAGTCTTAAGATACACTCAAAAATTTTGGTTTGACATTGTAAACGTCACGGGAGTTTTGTGAATACATAATAAATGTGTATTTTTTGTATTTTGTGTTTTGTGACTTTTGTATATTTGGGTGCGTACATTAGGCGCAAGCTTCGTAAAGTTGTGTGAAACACCCTGTATAAAAATTGGTGTTTCCATTTTTTGACGTCGATAGTACGACAGAAAATTTGAATTTGTTAGTCTAAATGTCAAACATAGACAACACATAACTGTTGTCAGCTCACGATTTATCTATACTAATAAACTTTTATTTGCTCAGAACGGAAAGTATAAAAGTTGAAGCGAAGTATTGAAGTTTTTCAAAACTTTTGAGACCATTTGTGGTTAATAAGTCGCATAACTTATAATACTTATTTAACTGTAGACATTTTTGCGCGATTAGACTCTTTTCGATTGTTTACTACATCTGTTTCTAAGGCAGTAAGTTGTATTTACTCGTTGCTATCCCAAACTTGTCCGTAAGTATTTTATTTATTGTTGGTAAGGACAAACTCGTTGGAGTCGTCGCTAAAGTATTCTATTCACAATCACCAATAGCGCCCCATACACGAACGGATTATTCGTCGGATCAAATCTGTATAGATCTGATCAGCAGATCTGATCCGTACGGACTAAATCTGCAGCGCTCCATACACGAGCGGATATCTTAACGGATTTGGCTCGCACGTATATGATCCGACGTATATTCCGTTCGTGTATGGGGCCCCAATGTAATATGCCGATTACTAACCTTTTAAAGGTTGGAAAACACGTTATTGTATCTCATGAGGAGTAATCATATTATTTCTCTTAGGCGGTAATATGCTGGACAGCCAACGTTAAAACGTTAAAATACCGGGAATTTTTTCTTTCAATTGTTAAGTTACGCATAATATTTTGCTAAATTAGTATTCAATTGCTTCTGTGGCAGTTTTTCGTACTACTGGGGGAGCGCACTACTTCATTTCAACAATTTTAATATCAGATTGACACATTATTTCAATATTTTTTTTTACATTTTTGAAATGTCAAAAATCAACCGGAATTTCGATGGGCTACCACGTTTAAACCTTAACTTTGTTACAATTTTGTTTTATTCAAATTTTTGACAAAAATTATGTGATTGTGAATAAAATAGCATACAAATCCCGGTGGTAATGGCTTACCCCTTGTGGTTTATTCGATACATACATAAGCACTCGGGGCAATGCCATATTTACCATCTCGCTTGTAATGTACTATAACCACAGGTTTACATATAAATAATCGTAAGCGAGCTAATGACTCAAACTTATCTTACATATGCAGAATGTCCGGAAAGAACGTTAAAAGATTGCGAGGAGTTGTTTAATATTGTGCTTTTCAAACATATTAGGAAGAATAAAGCATGGAGCTTTTTTACCAAATCTTTAGTAAAAATCTTCTACAGTGGGTGTTAGTACCGGACTGCCGTCTTAGTCTAACGTAACTCCCTCACCAGAAAGATGTAGGGGTAATTACTTAGGTCAATATAGAGGGTGAATATAAAGTACAAAATCAAGCGGCTTTTTTAATTATTTGCCACTAGAAAAAAATAATTAATATACATTAAAGAAATATAAAAATGTGATCGTTCCCTAAACACGAATTCACACCTCTTATTAATTAAAAAAAAATCGCCATTGTTAGTCCGGAAACACTGTTTTTGGGGACTGAGTACCTAAAATAACCGTTTTGCGTACTATTTTATTGAGTCCGGAAAAGACTTATTTTAGGGACTCAAATGAGCCCCTAAAACAGCTGTTTTCGGGAGCATATACAAAAAAACATTTTTTAAAGAAAATTAATTTTCAGAAAAGTATATCCAAAGCCAAATTTTACGCTTGAAATGGGTTGACCATAATAACAGTCTCTAAACGACCCCGATTCCAATTTTTATGTATTTACCTCAACAGGATACTAGATAAAAAAAAATAATTTGGTCGTCATTATCAGAGTTCTAGCTCCCATAAGAAGCATTTCCAAACGTAGAACTTTTTTTCTATATAGACTTAAGGAATTATCCCTCCAAAGGTTTGTTCCGGATAAGTAACAAACACAGAAGTTAATTTACTCGTTTACTCTGCACTAGTAAAAACCGAGGTAAAAACATTGTTTAAGTCTAGAGATTCTAATATTTTTTATAATTGTATATTTTTCTAATTCATAGTAATTTTTCACCAATAAATTGACCATTTTGTATCAGGCTCTAGTGATTAATGAAACTGAATACAAGGTGCGCTAAAACTCGCGCCCCAGAGAAAAATTTCAAGTAAGATAAGATCTTTCAAAAAAATTTGACATTTATTTTTTGACATTTGACATTTCTTTTATCTCTATTTAATGACACTGATGATCTTGTATATATTTTTTTACAATTATTTAGTAAAGGTACAAAAATTTTGCCAATAAAAACCACAAATAACATTGAACAGAGTTACAATTTAGGATACAGTTCCCTTGTTTCCTCTTCTAATAGCCTGTAGCAAAAATATTTGAAAACTTATTTTTCCAACAAAAATATATAAAGTCAAAGTGCAAAATTTAAACTCTCATACTCGAAATTTTTATAGATAATTTTTTTAACATTATTTCCATGTTCCTGGTATCTTACCTTATATGTTATTTTTCTCTGGGGCGCGAGTTCTGGCGCATTCTGTATATGCTAATTTATACCAATTCGTGGTAGGTAACCTTTATAACAACATAAGTGGATTAAATAAGAATATATCACCAAATTCTGGAGGTATAGTATACAGGCTGTTCGGTCCAAGTCGCCCCGGCCGATAACACCTAAACTTACTTTTTTTTTTCAAATACTAAATTTTCAAATAATACTATTCATTCTTCGCTTTCTTAGTAAATGCATCAAAATTTTTTGGCACATCCGGTGTAGCTGGAAATGCTACCAAATTTAGTTTTTCAAATGGAACGAACATCTATGTTTTTTTGCTCGAAACAATAATAATTGGTATGAAAAATACGGTAAACCAGTATTTATTACATTTTACTTTACATAATGCCCTCAGAAAACAATTTAAATTTTTGAATTTTATTGCAAATTTTGCAACGTAGGCGGATTTTACTTCTCAAGGTATTCATGAAAAAAGCAATATGCTTGGATACCGTTCAATTGTTATTTTGACAAAGCCTAATTTGTCAATAAATCTTATTGGGATTTTTAATAATGGACGACGAATTGGTAGATCAGGTTGAAGTGTTTTTTTAAGTGCAATAAAAAAAGAGCGGAAACTGAAAACAGTAAAGAGAAAAACTCTCAAATAGAGTTCACCCAAATCGTTGGAAATTTAGTCGAATTAAAAAACAACTGAGACGAATAGGTTCGCTTCTTAAAACTAAAAAAACCTGTGGTTCTTAGTGAAGAACAAGAAAATCTGAATGTTCTGTTATCAGTCGAAGAAAATCCAAGAGTTTCCATAACAGAACTCGCTCATCAACTGACAAATTAGATTTGTCAAACAACAATTGAACTGTATCCAAGCATTTTTTTTATTCACACCTTTTCTTTAAAATTAAAAATCAGGCCACGCGACCAATTTCCTTATAAAATTCTAAGATTTAAGATGTTTTTTAATTGCATTGTGTTACGCAAAATGTAATAAATAGTGGTTTACAGTATTTTCCATGTCAATTATTATTGTTTGGAGGAAAAAAACATAGGTGTTCCATTTGAAAAACTAAATTTGGTAGCATTTCCGGCAACACCACATGTGCTAAAAAAATTTGATACATTTATTAAGAAAGCCAAGAATGAATATTATTACTTAAATATATACTTTTTGAAAAAAAGAAGTAAGTTTAGGTGTTATCAGCCGGGGCGACTTGGACCGAACACCCTGTATATGTCCACTGACAAATTTTGCAGAAAAACGTTTTTTCTTTTTTAGCCTTTTGTTACATTTGACGTCAAAAAACAGGATTGCCATCTGAAGGACTTTAATCACCGCCTACTCTAATTTATTTTTTTATCGCACGGTATATTATACATACAGGGTGATGACCCCTCTTGGCAGACAACATATAATACATTATGCACTTATTCCCTGATTCAAAATTAAATTTTCAAAATATCGAGAGTCAAAGAACGATATTTTTCGATTCATGAAACTTTCAAAATTCGAATATGAATCAAGCAATAATTGCTTTGCGTATTATAGGTTGTCTGCCAAGAGGGGTCTAATGGGTCATTTAAGCTGAATCACCCTGTATAAAAGTAGATAGTAGCTTCATAGATAAAAGTATAAATATAACATGTAAGAGAAATAAATGTATTACATCGAATGTCTTATTTCAGACACGGAAAGGCCTCGTACAGCAACACCTTTAGACTCATACATTCAATGTGAATACGACTTTAGTAATATTAGGCCATATCGCACCGTAAAGAGAATAGTATCATAACTTAAACAACGCCAATTTTTAAATATAATCAACACGTAATGATAATACATACTATAATTTTATAGAATAGATTTTTTTTTCAAAAGTTTAAAAACAATCGTAATTTTTTAACCTAGTATTATAAAGACAAAACAAAGACAAAAACATCTCTGCTGCCTTAAAAATAATACTGATCGGGATAGCATAAACTAATTAAAATGTTGATTAAACAACAACAGTTAAACAATAGTACGGATGCCGATAGTGTGAATAAAAAAACATCAGTACAACTTTTATACACGTCATCACAATTTTGTAAAAAAAAATTGAGTAAACATTTTACGATTATTTAAGAGCAAATTCTCATATTAAAAACTGGCAAAAATTCTCCAACATAAAAATTACAAGGTGTACCATAAACACCTGACCAAAAATTACATATTGACAAATTCTAATAAATATTCTCAAAATAAGTTATAAAACCGCCAGTTGTTTGCAAAACACCCTGTAGATGTAAAATAAACGGGAGGGTAAAGTGTTGAAAACAGTGTCAGTACCTTGTATCTGGTGGGGGAGGTTTATGGTCATGAGGCGACCCTGGTGAACTATGTTGGGGGCGACCTCTGCTTAGAACACCACGTTCCACCTGCCCACACATACACACGGCCTATCAGAGCTGCACCTTCTGCTTGCGACTAACATTTATTTTGCGTGAAAGGGTGCAAACTGCATTACTGAGAGTCAAAGATTTCCAAGACACTTGCAAATCCTTGACAAAATAAAAAATAAAACACAGCACTAATACAAAAAATGTATATTGATAAAAAAATGAACATAAAATAAACTAGAAAATAAATAAACTGAGTCTCAAATCACAGTACAGGTAAAAAGTCAACTTAAGTTTAAAACCTACACGCTACTTTCATACTGTAAAATGCTCGTTTCTGTGGTTGGTGACTTTCAAGCTGTTTTGTCACAAAATGCTTCATGCTACAGCTAATCTACCTGGTCACTGAACATGTAGATATCGGGCTGATGAGCGTGATGCGACCGTACCTTGTTGAGGGCATCTAATACTTTATCAGGCATGTGATCCTGTATCATAACGGGAGATATTAACACTTCATCGAAATCAGTATTGTTTGCCCAAAGTGCTTGATAGACGGGTTCTCTGTTAGATAATGCTTGCCTGTTAAGAGAAAAAACACTATAAACACAAACATTTTTTGAAGGGGTCTATTGCTCTAGTCTGTATACACGTGAGGGTAAATATCTCTTACTATCAGGGGGAATAAATGCTTCACAAGAATTTTTGTAAATTGCACTAGAAATAGACGTACTATACCGGGTGTTCGGTCTCAAACTCGAACACATGGAACTAATGTTGAATGCGATTTTTAAGTATTTTGCCATTTTTTTTTTTGATAATAAAATAAACAAATATCTAAATAATCAAGAATTTAATTGGTTTTTATTAAAAATAAAATAAATAACAAAAAGTCTAAAATAATAAAAAAAAATCAGATACGTTTTTACCGCAGAAGCCCTTTTTGCATTGAAAAAATTATTCATTTTTACTTACTCAAATAAATTATAAAAAAAACTTTGACGTTTTTGACAAGTAGCGCTTACTTATTTCAGGTATTGATAAATTTGAAAATTGTATATTAAAGTAAAAATACTATTTTTATTCTTATTTTTGGCGTCATTTGACGAAAAATAATTTTATCTTTCGACAGGTACCATACCTTACTAGGTAGTATTGGAGAGCAGGAATCAGCAGAAATAAATGCTACCATGTTAAATCCCTATGTTTGCAATTGAAACCGGACACCCGGTATACATAGTATACAAAGTGAACCACAAAATTTATATTTTTGTTAAGGATCTTTTTTTTAATCTTCATACAGGTCGATTCTATTTTTATAAATGCTACATTCTGGCAATATTGTAACATCTATGGTGTCATAGGATTTTGAGTAATAATGTCATCATTAATTTTTTTAAATGGCAACCAATAATTTTGTTGACGGTTTTTGGTAATAGGTGCACGCTTCTGTTTTTTTTTAAAGAAAATATTTCCAAAAGTAGTAAACAAAAAAATGTTGGTTGCCATTAAAAAAAATACTGATAAGTGATAACGTCGTAACTTAAAAATCATTGACGATATTACTCCAAAAAATTAAAGGAACAAAAAATTTCTTAAATTTTTTGGTGATTTTTGAAAGGCTTGAAACTATCGAAAAATAGTCGTATCCAAATAAAAAAAAAGAATATTTTGAAGCTTTAAGATTCTAGTTTTGAGATCTTTTGTAAAAAAAATTTCTATGCTACGGTTATCATGCAATCCGAAGTAAGTAATAACGCGAGAAAATAAAAATCTAATTTTTTGTATACCCTCCCAAAAATAGCTATTTTGTGGACTCATTTGAGTCCCCAAAATGAGTCTTTTCTTGACTCAATAAAATAGTTTTGCGTACGTAAATTAAATTTTTAACTATGATGGCGAATTTTTTTTTATTAATAAGAGGTGTGAATTGTTGTCTTGGGAGCTTTAACAAAAACTTGTATGCACCACGTACGCAAAAAGTTTTAGGTGACTCCTCTCATTAAAGACTCGGCTCCTACGTCGCCTCGTCATTAATTACGATTCGTCTCCTACAACCCTACTTTGATACATAAATAGCTATTTGTTTGTTTTGGTTTTTAGTTAAGTTAATACATAGGCCGGATAGCATATTTGTTCACCTTTAATATGCTTTTTTCATATTCTCTTCACGTCAATTTGTCGCTGAGATATCTGACTTTAAATGAAAAAAGATCTTTTTGTCTTTGATCATTGACATCTCAGCAAACAATGATCACGCAGAGTATATAAGGGTAGGGTAAGGGTAGTAAGATCCTTTCATGATTTTTTGAAAAATATTTTTTTTGACTCTCAACATTGATTTAAAGAAAAGAGAAAAAGTAACTTTTTGCATTGTTTTAGTAAATCTACCGCGTATTCACTAATATTTATGGGGAGACTAATGTTTTAATTTTAGATAGGACAATTTTTCGATGAGATACAACCTTTCAAAAATCACCAAATAATTTAGGAAAAGTAGTGTGGTATAATGAAAATGTATCATTTACAAAAATCGACCTATTCGAAGTCTTTTTTTTTTTAATTGACCTATAGAATTATAAATTTTGTTACTTTTGGTTCACTTGTATGTATGTATGAATGTATGTACATGCTGTTCCAAGTTTTGGTGCCGGCGCACAAATAAATATTTCTAATTGATTAAAAAAGAATTCTGATAGTGTAAACGTTAGAAGATACACTTAAATTTGATGTTTTGATATTGTAAAAAATTTAGCGTATGGCAGTGGAAAGAAAAATTCAATTAATTGGAATATTTTCTACGCGATAAAATTCTTTGTGTTTCTTCTGTAGTATTTGTGGAAAAATAGAATAATGATAACGTTACTCTATTGTTAATGCATTAGCAGCACATCATCTCAAAACTTTGTCATAAAATACCAGAATTTCCAATTTTCAATATTAAAATGTTAATTACTCAAAATCTATCGACTTTTACATTACTTATTCAATTTTCACAGTTACCATTAGAAAAAATCAAGGAATTTCATTATGTAGAAACGATTCCAATTAATTAAAAAAAATTTTTTTGCAAATTTGGTTTTTGGAGTCTCACTGACACGATAAAAATTTTGAATAACCAAATTGAAAATTTTATCGTTTGCACTAGCAATTTTTTTTCAATCAATTAGAAATATTTAATTATGCGCCAAGCCAAAAACTTGCGACACCCTGTACTGTACGATAATCGTGTGACCTGACCTGACCTGAACACAATTTCGTTCCCTTCACATACTATTAAAGTTTTTAAATACAAATTGTCGTTAGTTAAAAAATTGAATTATACATTTACCTGAAACGTTAACAAAAATGTTTTGTAGTGCTTAAAAATCAACCCCTTATATTTTACAGCTAAAAACGATGCAAGATTGAAAAAAATACACATGTACGAGTACATCTGTCGGAATGTATGCAATGTTTGAAGTAGGGGATTTCCAATTTGCTGACCAAAAAAATAAACAGATTGTAATTATTTATATAAAAGGTTAAATTTAAACATTTTACGTAAACTCATTAAACTTTTGTAGCCGCATTTGATGATACTAAAGTTCAATTCCCCACCTTCCCCCACCACTTAACCTTTCACCCTTTTCGGGAAAATTACAACTTGCTTAATTATTTGGTCATCAAAATAGGCAAACCCTTTGAAATATATCTCCTAAAACATTTTTAAAATCTTATTTTATTTTAACCTTTTGGCTACCTTATTTTATTGTTGTTATGGATATCATAAAAAAGTTAACAAAATGTTTTTGTACCTATACAGGGTGTGTCAAAACTTGCACCCCAGAGAAAAAGAGTACGATAAGATACCAGGAACATGGAAAAAATGTTTAAAAAATTCTCTGTCAAAAAATTTTGACATTTATTTTTTGACATTTGACATTTTTTTGTCTATTTAATGATACTGATGATCTTGTATATGTTTTTTTTTATAATTATTTAGTAAAGATACACAAATTTTGTCAATAAAAGCCATAAATAACATTACACAGACTTACAATTTAAAATACAGCTTCCTTGTTTCCTCTTCTAATAACTTGTAGCAAAAAAACTTGAAAAATTAATTTTCCAACAAAAATAAGTCAAAGTGCAAATTTTAAATCTCATAACTTCAAAATTTTTATAGATAGAATTTTTTAAACAATTTTTTCATGTTCCTGGTATCTTACCTTACATGGCATTTTTCTCTGGGGCGCAAGTTCTAGCGCACCCTGTATACTACACATTGACACCATACAAGAGATAAGCTATTTGGTGTTGCAATTTTAATGCCACTAATAAGTAATTTATTTAGATATTTACATATTTTCACATGTATCTAAACCCACTCAATAGACCCTTTGGAAAAACGTAACAACAAATCAAACTACTACAAAAGTATAAAAATCATGGTGCAAGGGGTAACATGCAACAATCACATCTTTTTATTACCTCCATCTTTTTTCATACTTTTGTCTGAAATAAGGAACGGTGTAGCATTAATTTCTTTCAAAAATGATAAAGTTACTTACTCGCCACGTGTCGGATGATGTCTCACCACGTGAATTATTCGTCCCGGAGGATACAATGGCTGATGAGATGTCAAAGCAATGGTACTATCCGAAGGATGCAAACCTCCACGGGCGTTGCGTTTCGACCTCATGTATTCCCCAACGTCGCTTTCACCAGTGGACAGTTCTACAGCTGAAGTAGGTTGAGAACAGCCACAACAAACAATACTGCAAGTGATGGTTTTCCACTAAAAAACAACCAAATCAATATCGCTTTTGAGTACTACACAATGAATCCACCTTTGGATCAACACTGCGTTTGATAGCATTGATTAGATCCGCTCGGAGTGTTTCCATTTGGTTAAGTCCGATTCTAGGCACCACGTCCTTACCTACTACCACGGAGACGGTGAAGGCTTTGGTGTACTCCACCGCCGGTAAACTAAGAAGACCGCCTGGTGGCGAGTAACAATAACATTTCAAAGAAGCATAATACTGTCTTAAAAGAATTCCCAAAATACTGGCGGTACCAGCACCTAATGAATGTCCTACTATAACAATTTGAAATTCTGGAGTTCCACGTTCAGGAGCATGTTGTAATGCTCTTTCAATCAATTGTTCCTCTTGTAATTTTTCAAGAATATATTGAGCAGCTTGAACCATTCCCTTATGACCTAACCAATCTTCTCTTGGCGGATTTAGCGGTAAAGTTTCACCTTCAGCGTTCAGATCTGTCAAAATGTCCTAAAAATTGCCTTTGAATTTATGTAAAGTCACTAAACCGGGTGGCCCAGAATAAAAACGTTTATGAGTATTTCGAGCAAAACTAAAGAAACAGAAATTACCTACTGTTATTTTAACCAACAGTTTAAGATCGTTTAATCTTTATAGTTTTTGTTTCCTTTGGATCCGAGAAAACAAAGATCCTATAACCTTTCGGCTTTTGTAAAGTTTGTAACTATTTAAGCCATAAAGTAAAAGTGAAACTTTTATGCCATAACTTTTACTTCTATCATCTAAATGCTTATTTTAAAATAAAGTTACTCAAGAAATTAAAATAATAGCTGTGTTTTTAATATGCCTTTTAAAAATGCTAAATAACAAATTTATAACAAATCATTAATCGCCAATAAAAAATTGTATTAGCAAAAATCTGTTCTTGAAAGAGGTCCCGTTTACAAAAAAAAGAATAAATTTGTGATTGAAAGTGACTGACAATACAAAAACATGAGCGACTATAAAAAAAAAAGATCAAAAGAACGATATTATCAAATTTTAGTCACCCCTAGCTGTCGGGCGACAATGACATTGACATTTGACGTTTATTGTTTCTCTAACTTAGTAACTTTAAAAGTTAATAACGTAATTTAGCAACTGCATTTATTGGACTAGCCAGTTCAATACAACAACAATTCATATATCATATCATATATCATTGATATCAATGGTTCTAAAAGTTCTAAAGATGTTTTATACTCTTTTTCATATTAATGTGCATCAAAAGTAGGTCGTAGAAGTCCAAATGAATCTTTAACTTAAAAGCTGATTCACACAAAGAGTGTCATTAATGTCATTCAGAACAAATGTAATCACATCAATAATGACAAAAATCTTTATGTTTGTTACCCTATGTTAATTACGTTGTTAATTTTAATTATTTTTTGCTACCTGGAGCCACCTTAAACTGATCCCTTTCAACGTTACTTCAATGCACATTCATATGAAAACGAGTATAACTTAATTTACTACAAGCTTCATAAAACCAGTTTTCAAGCATAAATTCAACTTTAAATAACAAGTGGCGAGTTATTTTAAAGAATGTGTACTTTTATACAAAGAGTTTTTTATAAGGGGTGATTGTTTTTTGTTTTATTTTTTTGTGTTTAGGTTTCATATTAAGTGTTACCATGCTAATTACAATTACAAAATATACAAAAAACAATAGTCTTTTATAAAATAAGGCAAGAACACAAAGATAAAGATTTTAGTATTTAATTGTCAATTTTTTTTTAATTTTTTCAAATTTATCATTTTTGTTTTAATTAAATTTTCATTTTTTTTCTTATTTACAGGAAAATAAAGATGTGTGCTATTTAAAACAGTGAACAAAAATGTCAGTTGTCATTTAAAAAAATTAAAAATAAAAAACTCAAAAACAAATGGCGTCATAAATGTCACTATAATGTCAAAATATAGCATTTAAAAAAATAAAACCGACGTGTTCGAGGATTTTTTTGAAAAAAACTGCAGAACTGTTCTAGCTCCACTAAAAATTTTAGGCGCCCTACTTAAAAATTGTTTCTAGCTACGGGCCTGTGCTACATATCGGTCTTATGACGTTAATAACTATTTCAACTTTCAGGTTAGTCTAGATCTGAAGACAACAAAATAATGTACATTAGCAAATTGACAAGATTTTCCGTTCTATTCTCTATAGAAGATAAAAAAGCATTAAACTGTAATGTAAAGTTTGCCACAAAACTCGGTTTTATGTCGACCCACCCGGTATTCCTTCCTAACTTACCTTCATGCTTAGGGTGCCTCTAATACTAATCACAACCTTTTTCCTATCATAATCCAACGCAACAAAGAATGGAGTCTGTCCTACATCCACATGATACGTCACGTAAATAATTTCAATATCTCCTAAACTGGTAAGTTTCTGTAGAGCGGCATAATTACATTTACAGCAATTATCTTTAACAATTTCGGCCGAATCAGGTTTTTGGCACGGTAAACAGCAAAAACATCTCAAATCAGTGCACAATCGACAAAGTCCCATCGATGACGTCATGACGTAAATGGGCCAACCGTAAGCGCGGACGGCAAAATGGGCAAAATGAATAACCGTCTGGAAGAGTTCCAGATCGGCACCTTCTTGCAAGGAGAGAAATTGCGTCCGGGAAGTTACAGCGACGCCAGAAAGGAACTCGTAGGTGTCGTTGTTGCGCTGTTCCACTATAGCTTTGCGTTCGATTTTTTGAAATTTGCGTAGCAAAACTAAGCCGGCGATGACATCGGATGGCACTACGTCCAAATCCCGGAAGAAGTCGGAAAGGAGGCGAGCGATGTCGGCGAATGAATTGCGATTGCGGTCGGAAGCTGACGAACAACAGAAGAGGAAACGGCAACGCTGCTGCCAACTGTCCTGATAGGCTCGCAGGACTTTTCTAAAATAGTAATTTTAATGTTAAAAACAAGACAAAATATCTTTGTAGACAGTTTAAAAATCGAGTTTGTAGTTTGAATTCGAGCGACCGAAGGGAGCGAGAATTTAAAGGACTGAGATTTTTAAACTATAAAACTCGTGTTGTCTTCAAGATTTTTGCAACACTAATATTAAATCAGAAATTTTACTAAATTCTGAAATTATTATAAAGAAGTATGTCAAAATAATATCAAAATTGACAAAAAAATATCCATCAGCGTATTTTATCTACATACAGTTAGAGACAAAATACTTTGGACGTCAATGTCACTTAAGTGACATTAAATTGTAAAGCATGCTTTAGGACTGTTAACCTTATTTTTAGCTACTGTCAATCATAGTTGACAAGTTGTATGTACATATTTTTGATAAGAAAATATAATATCTGTCATTAATTTGAAATTGTCAGTCATTTTAACGTTAAAGCTTGAATGACATTAAAGTGTCAGAAAAGCTGTCATTAATTTGAAATTGTCAGTCATTTTAACGTTAAAGCTTGAATGACATTAAAGTGTCAGAAAAGTGACGCCCAAAGTATTTTGTCTCCAACTGTACAGGGTGCTACATTTTGGATGTCCAAATAGAGAATCTCCGAAACTAAGAGGTTTAGCTAAAAACGAGTAATACATTCTGGGGCTCATTTTTTGAGAAAATAATATTGGTTAAAACCGCATCCCCGCTATCGTCTTTTTTTATCGACTTATAGACAAAAATTGACATTTTAGTAAAATCTAAAAAAATTCATATCTTCGTTATTATAGAAGACACAGATTTGAAATAAGGACATTATACAGGCACTTTTTTACGTAGAATTTAATAATGTAGGTAACAATTTTTTTCAGTTGTTTGTTTAGCCGTAATAAAATAAACTTGTATTTTTTTTAATGGGAATCATAGATGGCTGTCATTTTTAAAAAACTTGTTTTTTCTTATCTAAAAAATATATATTTAAAACAAATTATTATAATACATTTTTAGCAAAAAATTATCTTTGATTTTTGTTCGCAGTTGGCCATGAAAAAATGTTGAATCTTCAACTAAACGGATTTAAACTGTATTATTCAACCAGTGTCACTAATGAAAGAGTTTTCTAAGTACTTACTAAGTAATGAAAAAAATGCAAAATAAATCGTAAATCAACTTATTGGCGACTAATAACATTTCTTTGTTTTTAAACAAGCTAACATTACCATTGTAACTTCTAGTGATACATAGAGTGTTGTAAAAAAAGCCGCTTTAATTCTTTAATAAAATATATTTTATATGACACAAAAATGACGATATATTCAAATACCCAAATTCCGTCTATGTGGAACGTTATCCTACCTCCATTAGATCATCAAAAAATGTTTTTTCTAATTGTGTTGACTGTTGATACATTTGTTTTTCCTATTTTTGGATTTTTTAAAAATATGTAATAATTTTGTTCTGCTCGCATATTTGTTCAATGCTTCTACCGTAGCGTATTTTTTAAATTTGTATAATTTTATATATTTTTTCATCTATTTTACAGTTGACAAAACTCTTATTGATTATTATTTACACATTTGGAGTGAAATAGTTTTTCCATGACCAACTATTATCAAATAAAATATGTATTTCATTTTTTAATTATAGTGATAAAAAAATATTCTGTTACAAATTTATATTTTTTAGATCAGAAAAAAATAAGTTTTTCGAAATTGCCATAGCCGCCTATGATTTCTATTTAAAAAAATACAAGTTTATCTTATTACGACTAAACTAATAACTGAAAAAAAAAGTTAACTACATTATTAAATTCCTCGTAAAAAAGTGCCTGTATAATGTCTTTATTTCAAATCCGTATCTTCTATAACAACGAGGATATGAATTTTTTTTTTAGATTTCGCCAAAATGTCAACTTTTGTCTGTAAGTCGAAAACAAAAGACGATAGCGGGATGCGGTTTTAACCAATATTATTTTCTCAAAAAATGAGCCCCAGAATGTATCACTCGTTTTTGGCTAAACCTCTTAGTTTCGGAGATTCCCTATTCTGACATCCAAAATGCAGCACCCTGTACATAGGTACAGGTTAGTCTAGAAGTCTGAAAACGATTTTTTTCTGACGAAACTATCATTTTTCAAATAAATTTATAGGAGTGCAATGGCTACAAAAATGCTATTCAATAGAAATTTTGAATATCAATTAATTGTTTATACTTACGAGATAAACATAGCAACATTTTTTTTTAATGGAAACCTACCACAATTTTTTTCTAGACAACGAGCTTGTTACAAGAAATGCCGCTGTGCAAAAATTTTTTTATGTAAACCTAACATTTTTTGTTAATCTTTTAATTAATCTCGATATTTAAAATGCATTTTTAATTTTGTTTCAATTTGTTATTTTAAGTGGTCATCATAAATTGTCACGTTCAAATTAGCTGTTTAAAAAAATTAAAATTATTCTGTGTGAAGCTTTAGGTGCTCTCAAAATTCAATTTTTGTGATTCGGTTTATAGATCATGTATTGATGCAGCTGACAGTCACAGAATACAAGTAATTCAAAATTCTTGTTTGCGTTTAATTTCTTGCATCCGAAGAAGACAAAGCATTTCTCATAAACTAATGAAATTGGATGGTTAAATATGGAAAATCGCCGGTTACTTCATGCAGCTTCACTCTTCCACAAAATCATTCTTTTAAAGACACCGATCTATTTGTACCAAAAAATTAGTTTTAGATCGGATGTTCACAACCTAAATATTAGATTTAAAGGTTTACTTACCCCTCCACTCCACTCTACTGAGTTATTTAAGAAGTCTTTTTCATATCAAATTACTAAATTATACAATAGTTTACCTCATTCGTTTAAAAACCTCAACTCTGCTAAATTTAAACAAACGTTGAAAAAATTACTCTTATCCAACCAAGCCTTTAATTAAGCCTGATTTAGTTTTTTCTTTTTTGATCTTTTTTTTTTTGAATGTTTAGATGTGCAACATGTTTAGTAAACATGTCATAAGACTATTTTACTTAATACTTTTTCTTTTTTCGTGTTTCAATTTTCATTTTAATTTTTTTTTAAACCACACTGTATATGTTTATTTTGTTTTGCTTAGCTTAAGATGAAAAACAGGGGGCGTGCAATCGCGAGTTTAGCATTGTACACCCATCTGATCTTCGGCTTTTATATGCACGTTTTGTTTTATTTTTCTTTTTTGTATTTTATTTTATTGTTTATTTTTTTTGCATATAATAAAGACCTTTATTATTATTATTATTATTATGATTCAAAATTAGTGCAAAGTAATGGCAATAGTTTTAGTAGTAATGTCGATGATATCTTCCATGTTATAAGAAGCACTTACAAGGACTATGTTGATATAATTAAACCTGTCTTTGTAAATTTCAGTGAGCCACAAAATAACTCAAGTGCCGTAACGAACCTAGACCATTTTTACTCCTTGTATTTTTAATATATTACATATCAGGCTGGATTATGAAAAACGCCCCAAGCCATAATTTCATTATTTTTAAAGATATGACAATACTTTTTTGAACAAAGTTAAACAGTTTCTTGTTATCCATTGTTTGGGATAGATGCTTAATCAATACTGATTCCTGTTTCACCGGTAATGATATTAATTTCAGTTTTGTAAATGGAACAGCTTGTATGTTTTATTATTTTTTGATTTCTCATTAAATTGTCTCTCAACAAGAATATTTACTATTATTTATCACTTGCTTTTGATTTTTTAGGCACATTGAAAATTAAATTAAATAAAGTATGCTATAGAAAGAATAAGAACATTTTTATTCATTTTATCTAAGACAAGCAAACTGTTGATAACGAAAAAATGATATTTACCTAAAAATTTGCATATAATCATAATCAGTTAGGTCCTTGACCTTAAAAACCATTAAACATGGGTATAGCAGGGAATGTCATCAATAGGGATCGAAGCAAAATTCAATTCTCTTCCATTTAGAGAAGGAAAATTGAGTCATGGGTATTTGAATTTCCCCAAACGGAACGTTAAATTTTGTGGAGTTAAATTATTAATTTTAGCAATTATGAATTCAGCAAGAGAAAAATCGAACCTTTCCCTTTTAAATGGCCAAATACGATTTCATAATAGTTAAAAATTACAAAGATCTATATTTTTAAAGAGAAAAGTTCAAAAATTAAAATTTTCAAAAAAGTAAATATTTTAAAAATGGCTGAAGATAAGAAATAACTCTCATAGAATAATTCTGAAAATCCAAAAACGCAATAAAAAATATAGCCTTCTATTTAAAATAATAAAGTTGACTAAAATTTCTAAGCTGGTAATGCATAATTATTATATTTTGTGTAAAAGAAAGAGCTCATTTAAATTATCCAAATAGAGGCATTTCAGATTTACGAAGAAAAAACAATTTGGAAAATACGAATGTAAATTCTCACAAACGAATTCGATTTCTGAAGAAATTTTGGACTGGAACAATACTCTTAAGGTATGTAGATACAACAAGTAGCTGCTTTAATCGGGTACCGGCTGATTTGGTTCTAAATCGAGATCTTTAAATATTTGTTATCAATAAATCTATTAGAACTAAGTTTGGTTTAATTATTATTAGTTCTTTTGTTGTAAAACATTTCAGATTAATGTTTTTATTCCTCACACGTAAATGATGACCACCCCATTTGCATCGTGCCTGACTGCATCTTTCAACATTGATAATTGTCAAAGTTTATACATATGATTACTGGATTCCATATTTTTGAGATTGTTATTTTTTTCTTCTTATTGGTCATTTTCAAAAAGTTGTAACTTGCAGATGTAAATATAGAAAAAAGAAAATACGTTTTAGTCTTGTTTGAAGAAAGAATTCCTCGAGAGATTTTGGTCTATTTACATAACATCCCGTATAAACGAAAGTGTTACTATCTTAAAAATATTTATTTTCATTGGGCAGAACCTAACCAATTCAGTTAAAATCGCTATAATTATTGTTTAGAATAGAGTAAAAGCGACGTGTATGCGTGGGTGACCAAAATGCGTCTCGGGCGAGTTCTTTAAAAAAGAAAAGAGTTTTTGTTTCTTATCGCAATTTTTGAGAAAAGACTAAAAGGATAACAATTATTATTTTATTACACCATTGGTACTCGTATGTTTGCGTGCAATTAGGCGCCGCCCAGGCGTGTACATCTAATTTTTACACCACTTTAATTAAGAGGTGTTCAATAATAGTATATTATGCATAAAGGGCGAGAAATTCATGATTATTCCTGAGGTGCCATTTGTAGCCAGAAGACAAAACACCAAAGCAATAATAGCATTTTGTTTATACAGTATGTCCCCGGATTGTTTATAAAAGAAAAAAAAATATCTTTGATTTTACGCTAAAACTGCAAAAGAAAAACACTTTTTGCTTTACTTAAAAAGAGCATATATAAGAGCATATCTATAATTAAAACTTATTATTCTGATTCAGTAAAAAGAAAAGATCATTTTTAATTTTTAGGAAGTTTACTTACCGTTGTCGCCAATTTCGTGTACTGCCTGATCTCTTATATTGAAATTTTGATTCAGATTCTCTCATCGATCGTTGGTATTGCTTCATCTTGACCCACGAGCGTCCTGCCGCGTCGTAAGTACACCACACGGTAATAAGTACAGAAAATAGTATACACCAGTTACACACAACCATGCCCAAAACAGTCTCTTTAGGATTCATGGGGTTGACGGTTTTACAAGTAAAATAATTGCGGACAAACCAAGCCACACCAGCCGACAACCAACCTCCTTCTATGAGCATTATAGCTGAAAAATGAAACAAAATGTTAATCATTTTCATTAAATAGTTTACTAATCAAATACACGGTGAATATAAAATATGGGACCAAGCGGTTTTTTTTCGTGAACCAACTTTACGAAAAAAACAATTAGTGTAGCATGAAGTACAATTAAAATGTGATCGTTTATCAAAAATAGAAGTAACATTTTTCAAAATTCCTTTATTTTTTGTTCCTTTACTAAATAATTATAAAAAAAAACATATACAAGATCATCAATATCATTAAAAAGACAAAAAATGTTAAATGACAACAAATAAATGTCAAAATTATTTGACAGATAGAATATTTTAAACATTTTTTCCATGTTCCTGGTATCTTATCTTAGTTGAAATTTTTCTCTGGCGGCGCGAGTTCTGACACACCCTGTATGTACATAAAAATGTCACAATATGCACGAGGTTAACAACATTCCTTCTTATTTAAGTGTTGACCCCTTTATACTTTAATTAAATTTGTAATTTATTTATTAAATTTTTAATATTTAAAACAGCTCGTCCCGTAACCACATTAGAAAATTTACTCGATTATTAAATTACGTGTACATTACATTAGACATTAAATTATAATTATATTATACAGCTTGTTCCGGCTAAACCCCACATTAGAAGTAGGTATTGGAAGTTCCAACAATGATATTTAACTAAAATTTTGTTTATAGCCCTAATCGGTTAGGTTCTGCTCATCGCCGTCTCGATAAAAACAATCCTTTTCTCGCCTGGGCATTTCTTGAGTTCAATTGATTCCCGTTGGCGCTTTAAACTGGGGAAATTTTTGACACATCCAGTTTTTTAACTTAAACGGTTCAACCTCATAATATCTATTCTCTCTGGCGTATTTTGTTTTGTTGTATCCTTCCTTCTCTGCTTTTATTAATTGCGTTATTTGTCGTTAATAATTAAAAATCATTCAGTTTTACCTTAGCAACGCCCGTAACTAAGGAAAAACTCGGAATCACTGCTCCAATGCATTTTTTACGAAATGCCCAGGCGGGATATTGATACATTTCATTAAAGAGGTGGTGGTTCTGCTCAATGAAAATATTTTTAAGATGGCGGCACTTCCTGTTACACCGGAAGTGGATATCAACTTTGTTATTTTAAATAGAAAGTTATGTTTTTTATTGCGTTTTTGGATTACTCAAGTAATTTTGAGAGAATTTTCATAAGCCTTCCCTACACCTAAATTAAACCGTTTTCAAAATATATAAACCTTTTTTAAAAAATTTTGGATTTGAATCTTCCTATTCAAAAATCGATAACTCTTTCATTTTTTATTATGTTGAAACCGTATTTGGATATATGAGAGAGAAAGACTAACCCTCTAAATCTTTCCATTGATGTATTCATAATTGAAAAATTAATTAACAAACCGCCAAAATGTAAGGTTACCCTTAATTTTTTACTGAAACACCCCAATTTTATCTTCACTGAATGGAGGAGAATTTAATTCTGCTTCTATATGTATTAACATTCCCTATACCTATATTTGATAGTTTTCAAGTTATAATAACTTCTTTTGATATTGTGAAAAATTCATTAGCCATAGTTATTGTCATAGAAATAAGAAAAAAATTAAATATCAAAGTTATTCAAATTTAGATTAAATAAATTTAATTTGTATTTATAAAAAAGTAACACAATTGTAAAAAAAACTTGGCGTTTTTTCAGTGAAAAATATTTCCATGGCAAACTATGCGAAAACTACCATGAATAGTAATGAATTTCTTCCATTGTAAAAAAGTTAAAATAACTTGGAAATTAAATTCAGGTATAGGGAATGTTGATACAAATCGATGAAGAATGAAATTCTCACTCATTTAGTGAAAAAAAAAATTGGGACCTTCCATTTAAAAAAAATCTATTACGGGTATTTGATGCTTCCCAAACGTAACCTTAAATTTTTAAGGTTTGGTAATTATTTTTCCAATTATAAATACACTAAAGAAAAGATCTAATCTTTCTTTTTTATATGCCCAACTTCAAAATAATTAAAAATGGTAGAGTTATTGATTTATGGAGAGAAAGATGCAAATTAAAACAATTTCAAAAATGTCTAAAATATTTCAAAAACGGTTAAATTTAGGTATAGGGAAGTTTGATAAGAACTCTCAAAATCACTTGAGTAATCCAAAAACACAATAATAAAACATAACTTTCTATTTAAAATAACAAAGTTAATACCCATTTCCGGTGTAACCGGTAGTACTGCCATTTTTGAAAATACTTTCATTGAGCAGGATCTAAACGATTATGGCTATAATCAAAATTTTAGATAAATATAACTGTAAGAACTTTCAATACTTTTAATGTGGGGTTTAGCCGGTACAGCCTTGCATAACCTTTGTATAACAGAGAGTAAAGAAAGAAACAGAATAGAAAGTGTTCCAGCTTAGAACTTCATCAAAATCACTTTTGATACTATCGCACACTAAATTTTCAATTCGAATAACCAGTTAAATGTCCCCAAATGCGAATTTGAAAGATTTTAATTTCAAGTATTTTCAGTAACAAGACTTCTAATTACTAAATAAATTCCCCTGGAATCATATTTCTACTTCTAAAATAGTTATAAGAACTGCCCAATGTATTATTAAAAAAGATGGTATGCAACAAAGCTTTTAACATATTAGCAGCTCGTCCTTTAATCACACCACACGCAAATTAATTACTTCTATATAGAGACATCGGTATTAATCAACTAAATGTTACACGTTTTACAACTCAATACCTACATTTTTCAAGTAATCTATAACTTTCAGAATGGATAAGTTATACAAGCTGGATTATGAAAAACGCCCCAAGTCATTACTCCATTATTTTTAAAAACATGACCTAACTTTTTATAATAAAATTGCACAGTTTATTGTCGCCTATTTTTTGAGATAGATGATCAATCAGTGATGCTTCCTGTTTCACCGAAAGTGACATTGATTTCAATTTTTTAAATGGAACACACTGTATGTTTTATTATTTTTGGATTCCTCGTTAAATTGTCCTTCAACAACACTCACTATTATTTATCATTAACTTTAACTTTTAGGCAATTTAAAAATTCAATTACATAAAGTAGGCTGTGAAAAAAACCTGTTTTTGTAAACTTGTAGACAAAGTTTAAATCTTAAATCCTATAGGTATTTATTTGTTAGACTTTTAAACCTTATTAATAATTTCAATTCAAAACTCACAAAACTTACAAACTAAATATCTTACCTACTCTAAAATAAAGAATATACTGCATAGAAGAACGTGGCGCCGTATCCAAAATACTCCCCTTCATTGCTACTACACAAATGGCTAGTTCAAGGGCCATAGAAAATACCAATATTACCACATAACCCAAAACCAATCCCAGCAGTTGCAATTCACAGTATACGAGATTTTCGAATGTAGCCAAGCTAAGAAATACCGTCAAGATGACAGTCCTGAAACAAAAGATAAAAGCTCATTATAATCATTTTGAATTCGTAATTCAGATTTAGTAGATGTAAGTAATGATGTAAGTATGTAAGATGTAAGTAATTTTATACACCCATTAACAATACCGACACATTAGTTCACATTCATAAATTATAAACAAAATAATAATAAACAGAAAGAACAAGGAGTCAAGCTTTCCTATGCACAAAAAAAATATTTCCTACAAAATAAAATAAACAAACTTAGAACTTAGTTTGTGTTCCTTTTCCAAACAAACTTAGAAGTGTTTATCCTATCAGAAAAATAGAACTCGTTTGCTGAAAGCTCATCGAAATATCAAGAGAATCAATTTATCCATATACAGAGATTTTTTTATTAGTGTAGATACAGTTGCGACCGTTAAATTTAAGACACTTTGACAAATCCAAAATTTTGTCGTTGTAAAATACCTTGATAGTGAAGTCTCTAAAATGTCACTCAAATAATACGAATCAGTATCACAAAGTAGCAAATTTTATTTCAAAACAATGAATTTAAATTTTGTAGACAGATTAAAACTAATATTTCATTGCAACACATTCCGAAAAATTAAAACAGACATTGTCATCCTTGAAGAAAACCTAATTTCACTTCACAAATTTTTAAAATAGCAAATAGTATATCCCAAAAGTCTTAATTTTCAAAGGCCGCAACTGTACATAGCTCGTTGTTTATAATTATAAAAAACACAATACACTAACTGCTTGTCACCATTGGAATTATTAGGATTAGTCTTAGGCAACCAATATTACTAATTAAAATTACAGTTTATTCTGGAGCCGTGATTAATTTTTATCAGCCGCAATTAATTTTTATCTGCCCCACCCACTCGGTTTTCTTAGTGACCAATGAAAAATGTCTCCAAGGTGGTGAAATTTAAACTAAAAAAAATTATAAATTTTTGATTTTTAAATTTTTGAAATTTAAATGGATTTATGGAGGATGTTTTAGAAGATTTAATAATTATAAATTTGGGCGAAAGTGATGACCACAGTACTTTTGGCATTAATTTTGAATTAAATCGTATTTCCTATTTTTTTTTATAATTTTGTTTGTTGTACATATTAAATGAGACTTTAACTGTGATTTTTTAAAATAAATTAATTAAATATTATAGGTGGCTGTGCATTTCAGAAAGCAGATAAACAAAAACCATATGTCAAATGATGCGCAAGGAAAATTAAAAATCGACCTGTTTCAGAATTTTTTACAAAAATTGCTTATATTCAAATTATAAATTTTATTCCAGTTGAAAATACCACTCTGTATAATTCTATCACGTAGTATGTATAATCCTTTTCCTATTAATATGGATCGAAGTAGTCGGTGAAAGGGATCATTTTAAGGTGGCAACCATGCGAAAATTCAAACAATCACAACCTCAATCTTCCCTAAAAATTATTTTCTCAAATAAATATGTATCCCAGTTTTTGAGGTACCAAAAAATAAAAAATAATTAAAATCAACTATGTAATCAACACAGGGCGGCAAACATAAAGATTTTTGTCATTATTCATGTGATTCAACTTGTTCTAAATGACTTTTGTGTGAATCGGCCTTTAAATTAAAAATGCATTTAGACTTCTACAGCCTACTTGATGCACATAATGTGAAAAATAGTATAGGTACTTACTTTGATTAGGGTAAAAAAGACCGAACTTAGGTTTAAACCTTAATTTTAACTAAATTTTCAACGTGAAATTTTTAAAATGTAACAGTGTAACTTACTCTCCCATTGATTCCCATAAGAGTGGAATATTAATCAAGTTATATTTTAAAGACTTTAGTTACCTATGGCTAATCGTAACCGTCACTGTAACAATGCATTTGACAGTCTTTTTTATAAATGTATAAAATAAGTTATATACAGGTGTTCCATTTTTATTGTTACAAATTTAAACAGGTGAAAGAATAGAATATTTATTTTTAAGACATCAAATGTTTCCTACAGTGGCGGACACGGAATTTTGGACATCAAATTTATGTCAGTTCAAAAAATGTCAATGTAAGCCATGCTTTATTGTCATTATGATTGACGTTTGAAACTAAAATTTTAAAGTTTTAGTTGAAATTCCATTTTAGCGTCAATTTTCTATTATTTTGATCTGTCGTCATTTTTTTCTCTAGTATCAGGATAAAAATTCTAAAAACCAAAAGTAAGGTTAGTTGCTAAAGCCCGTTTTACATTTTTATGTCAGTCGAATGACAAATCGTCCAAAATTCCGTGGGCGCCAGTGTATGAACATGTAGCGAAAAATGTTTTCTAAAAAAGAATAGATAAAATTACAAAAGTTGGTACAGCTGATAACCTTTAAACACCTGACGAATTCAAGGATCAAATGTCGAAATTTTTATTCAGAGATGTCCTAACTGGAGGAGTTTAGAGAGTAAAACGGATTTAATTTTAATGCTGTGCAGGGTCTGTAACATAAATTTTAAAATGATTTTACTCAAAAAAGATAATAAGTTGCATCGAAAAAACGCAAGAAACCTCTTTTTTGTGAAAAACTATAAAATTTAGTATTTTGTTGCTGAAAGTGGTAAAACATTTCAGCTAAAATAGTTAGAGTTTTTTTTTTATCTTTAAATTTGTGTGGGTGTATAAAGGTAATCAACTATACCAAGTTTTGTAATTTTATCTAAAATGGTTTCTAAATATTGAACAAAAACCATTAAAACATGCACCTCTTTCAATATGAAATAATCTCTTATTAGAGATAAAAAGTTATTACTTTATCTAATTGTACTATTTGTAAAAATAAATTTTGAGTTAATTATGACATAATTAGATATCACATTGCCCTCGATATAAGTAACTGATAAATCAATATTTATTTAGTTCTTTGACTAATTGTTGTTACACTTTTCATTAGATGTTACAATTTAATGTTTTTTAAGATACTTCACAATAAAATTGCTTTTTGTAGACGTTAGCACCCTAAGAAAGAAAGAAAGAAATTTTAGACAAGTGACAGACAGAACAATTTGGCAAATTATTCGTCTTTTTACAGCCACTTTCGTTCCGAATACGATCAGATAGGGAAACTTCTTCAATTTATAATGTTTTTATAACATGATATTCTATGACCTATACAACAAAAAATTCAAGCCCTACCCAAGAATCAGTAAAACCAAACAAATTTAAAATATGTAATAGGAAAATTAAATAATAAGGAAATGGTCTTTACTAAAATTTTTACGCGTCTTATAATGTTAAACTCTTATTTTCTTAATTTAATAATGCAAAGATTGACAAACACATTTGATTATACTTTTTCTGCCAAAAAGAAATGAATGATTCATTTAACAAATCTGTGTATTAAAATAAAAGTGTCTAATCAAAATCCGCCTTTATTTATCATTGCTTCCGTCATTATAGCGATAACCACGTTTCACAGATCATAGGTCTCAAAAAACATCTATAAAAGTGTACGTAAAAGAGGAAATAATCTAAATTAAAAAATGAGCAAGAAAAGAGTTAGTTATCACTCTTTTAGGTATTAATTATTTCCAAACGGATCATCATTGACTACTACTCGTTCAGGCAATCGCTCTTGTAGAGATGCTAATATAAGATGAAAGGACTCGTAATAGGGTGACGTCGAAAAGGACAGAAAAGGAAGATGGAGTAATCCTAGGGTTGAATATCGATTCTACAGCCACACAAGACACTAATTTCCATTGAAATTTCGCCCAACAATTAACTAAATGTAACAGTAGACTATCCACCTGCGACTATTTAAATCCACAAGAAGTAATAAGAAATGCTAAAAATAGGGAGTCAAATAGGGTGCCGTCCCTTCCTAAATATAAGCACCTCGAGACTTAGTCACCCCTAAGTATGAGCTAAAATTGCAATAATTCAAGTTATTGGATGCTTTAATGTCCAGTAATTCACATCTACCATCGATCAATAAGGGGATCTGTAACTGCAAGGGGATTCCCCCAAAAAACAATAAATTATAAGAGACTTCTGATTTGTTATATTTGAATGTTTTCGGTTAAGACTTCCTTACCCCCAAAACTCAAGAGACCAACAAACCATACAAGCTTTAAGTTATGGGCAATTCACATCACTAAAAAGTATTTTTTTTCTAAGCAATCTAAAACAGTTTAATTCCATTTATAGTACTCGTAATTTATAACAGGTTTCCACCTAAAAAATTTTAGGTATGTCTTGCAAAAAAGTTCAACAATTAATTAAAATTCAATATGAAATAATAATAGTAATTACACCAAGAAAAAGAAATAGTATATTATATTACAAAGTAGAGAAGAGATTTTTTTATAGCTGTTGATTTCCCAAGATGCATAAGCATGGTAGCGAGAGAGAAAAATTCTTTACTAGCTAGGGCAGAAAATATCAAAAACACAATATACATGTCTTCTAAAGCTAGTAGTGACAAAAAACACTAATCTCTATACATATAATCCAACCATATTTTTAAAAGTTGATAATAGTTACGTTAAAAAATATATTCCTTCTACTCCATACTGTTGAATAAACTACAAACATACGTCATAATCGTATAAAGTATGACTATGATTCATTTTTTCCTCTATAAAAGCTTTAAGAGCAGTAGTCATTTTTTAAACAATGCAAATATTATACAGGTTGTCAAAATTGACCTAGTAATAGTAACAGTACAGAAATACTGTAACAAAAAAAAACTCACACATTTGTTATTACTAAGAATGTTATTTAACTCTAAAATATTGGTACACAGTTTGAGGGTCACTGAGCTTATTTCCTAGTTCAGATAAAATTGTACTGTTGTAACAAATAAAAAAATCGTATCTATGACAATGAAAGAGAAAAGTGACTTCATAGTTTTGACACTGTCATCATTTGATTTGCTTTTGCTTTAATTTTTTTCCAAAATCTATGAATATAAAATAAAATAATAAATTGGTTGTCATGATTATGATTTACGGTAAAACACAAGTAATGATATTAATGGCCATTATTGCAGCCGAAACAGCAGTTCTCAAACAAATAATATAAAATAAATTATTTCCTTTCACAACGTGAATTTATATTTTATATAGTGAGTTAGTTTTCTTTTACAGTGAATATCATCTCATTTCAGCTTCAACCTCAAGATCGTAAACACCCTGTATACACGGTGAGTTTTAACTTACGCATAAACTTAGAAAATGATAGGTAAATAACTTAAATGAAACTTTTTCTTATTTTGGACAAATGTCAAAAAAATACCACTTAACTCTTCCAAAATCAAGAAAATAGCTGTGGACAGGTGTGGCGTGAATAAATGTAATGTAATGTAATCAATAAAAATCTTATTAATAAAAAATAGAGTTTTGCAAGTGATTAGAAAAGAGCAAAAGATTTTTTCGATTTTGAGTCTGAAGGAAAGCTTATTTCGATACCAAAACCGATGCTTTAATGGACCATTTCAACACCAATTCGAGTGCTGAAATAGACTAGTACAATTTACTTTTTTTAAAGGTTGGTAATGATCATTTTCAGCGGCCTGTTGAGCGATTTCTCTTATTTCAGAAGGTGTGCACGAAATATTTGCAGTACTCATTGTTAATCCAACAAAATTTTGAAAAATATTCGAGACTTGACACTTCGAAAATCGAATTTTCCAAACTTTGTGACTTGTATTACTAACTATTATTATTATTAGAGCAAAAATTCCCAAAACTTCCGAAACAGCTTCGCTGCTCGTTTCATAAACCTGAACTCGTTTCATAAAACTTGCCCTACAAAACTTTAATATACTATTTTAACACCGTGTATCTCAGTAAGAAACTTTTATTAATTTCTTTTTCACTATTAGTTATTATTTAGCTTAACCTGTCATATGCAATAAGTTAAGACTCACCCTGTATTTTGGTTTACTTAGCACACTGCCACAAAACAATGTTTTTTCCTATTGTTCTAATTTTTTTTTTACAAAATTTTGAAAGTGCCTGCTTTCACTAAATTTTTTTATTAATAAAAAATTAAATTCCGCAAGTAAATACATAGTACTTTGCTCTGTCGTTCGATATATTTTTTAAGTGTTTTAGTATTCGGAGTACTAACCATAAGTGGTTAAATGAAGTGATTAGAAAAGTACAACATTTTTTATCTCATCTGTAGATTCGTTTTTCTAATTTGCGTTTATTAACGTTTCTCAGTAGGAGTCGTTTATGGCTATCTATAAAAGCACACTGTACTTTAATGAATTTAGGGTTATTTAGTTTTTGTATGTCGCTTCTGACTTGTCAGGTAACAAATTTTGCGTTGTTGCTTCGGCAATTTCGCGAATTTCGGACGGAATGCAAACTAAATTCTGTTGGCTCATATTTTATTTATTATTATAATGTTGTAACACTAATAACTAATAATTTTCAAATTTTATTTTTAATGACAAACGGCAGAAATGATTCAAAAATTCAGGTGGGCGCCGAGTCTTACCAACCGATACCAACTAACACAAAATTCTCTAGACGACAAAAATATATTTTTTTTAATTAAAATAAGAAAAAAAGGGGGTGCAAATTAGAAAAAATAGCATAAAATACTCGTTTTATAATGGCATTAGCGCACTCATCCCATAGAAAACTCGCCTACGGCTCGTTTTATAACTTGGGATTCGTGCGCCAATCATCATATACTATTTTAACACGGTATATCTCAGTAAGAAACTTTTATTAATTTCTTTTTCACTATTAGTTATTATTTAGCTTAACCCGTCATTCCCTAAAATTATGCATATAAGTTTTTCTGTTTTTTTGTTGTTCTAATTTTTTTTACAAAATCTTGAAAATGCCTGATTTCACTTAAACTTTTTTATTAATAAAAAATAGAGTTTTGCAAGTAAATAGAACTTTCTGTGTTCTGTGTTCTGGTATTCGGAGTACTAACTATAACTGATTAAATTAAGTGATTAGAAATGTGCAAAAGACTTCAATTTTTCATCTTATCTGTACACAACTTTATTGTGATTTTGTTTCGCTATTCGATGTAAAAATATCGGTGTTGTCTTTATGTCTTTTTAAGTATAGTACTTATATGAAATGCAACAGAACAAGTTGAAGTTGACTTTTTAGATCATCTTGCCTTTCTTATCTACTCTTTAAATGTCTTTACACGAAAATAAACCCCGGAATTATTTAGCAATGTTTTGTTTACAACATTTTGAGATACATATTTGATTATCAAAATACGAAACAATATGTTTAAAGGAATTTTATTTTTGTGAAAAAATACTAAGTGGGTATCAAATAAAAACACAGTTAACAAAAAACAACAAAAAAAATATTTTAGGTAAAATAAAATTGGAATACTTAACTTTTATAAAATACGCATAACAATGACCTAGAAATTATAAATATGCATAAACATTTGTAAAAAATTAACAAATTAGGTAACCTAAAATTCAGATTTAATTAATTTCAAAAAATCTAGAAAAATTTTGGATCAAAAGTGTATGCTTTTAAAATAACAGTTTGGTTTGGTGATATAATACAGTAATCGGGGGGATTGCACCCAATTAAGACGCTGGCGAATGCAAAAAAAAAATTCAACCCTAAATAATTCTCTTCAAGCGATTGTTCCAAGCAATTCAACGATTGGCAACCCCTCGCTGAAACCCCTATTAAGCGTTTCTGCGACCTTTGACCTTATAAACCCATTGCACTATTTGGTTCGATACACTCGCGCTGCTTTCATGCATCACAGAAAGTCTTAAGACACACTTACCAAATCAGGTGGACGGTGAAGAGAAAAACCCCAGGCACGACCAAATCGTCCGATCCAACACTCCATCGTCTCCGAAAAACGACTATTCCTGGCATATTATCACAACTTCAAAAAACAGTCCACCACTAACTCTTCATTCTCTCTTCGTCGCACTGCTACATAACACTGGGGGAATCACTTTTAGGAGCCGTTGCGTCTGTCATTATCTCTGGCATTGTACGAGAACACATCACACTCACATTTTTATCAATAAGAACTCTCGTGGCTGGTTTTGAGGAAAGTTTGTTGGTTAGTGGTGACCAGACTTGATGTTACCTTGAATTTGTCCTCGTTGAGGCTGTAAAATGATGCAACAGAGTATTATTTAAATGTCACTAGAGGGTGATAAGAGTATATGCCAATACAAATTTAAATACAATTAGCTTTATTAGAAAAACTTCATTTCTGTAAATTTATAAAATTTAACGAAAAACATGAATCAGATATCGTTATCTTATTCTTATCAAACTTCATAGTAAAATATCTCTTAACTACATCCAATTTTAAATAAATATTTTCGTTTGATTATTTTTGCAATCACTCGCACATACAAATATTTTTTAAGAACAAATAACGTCATAATATTTTTTTTAATTACACAGGGCGACAAAAAAAAAAGTCACGTTGTGACAACTTGACAAATGTTATATGATTTTGTTCGTCTCAGTAAGACAAATCAAATGCACTAAAAAAATTCAAAATTTGAACTAAATATTTTTTTCTAATTTAAATGAATTTAAAATACTTTAACTTTAAAAATCATTACTCAATAACGATTAGGCCGATTTCCTTCAAATAAAAACCATTCTAAAGGGATGGACTTGCCCTTTAGAATAATATGCAATTTGAAATTCGAACAGTGTTCGAAGAAGTTCGAAGTAAATCGAAGTAATCTAAGAAAAACCCTACGAGTAATTTTTTTTCATCATTACCATCGTGTAGAGCATTTTTTATTAGTAAGAATCCAAATTTTTAAAATAATATACCGAGTAGTTTTTAAAATATGATTTTTTGAAGTTAAGGTTTGCTATTCACGTATGGCTCCATATAGGAGAAATGCATGTTAATCTTACTTAAAATTGCATTTTTATAAAAGTATTTGTTTTAAGACTCTTCTTTTGCTTAAAAATGGTCAATTGCACCTTTTTTGTTCTAATTAGAATAAACAAAAAACTGTTTCTTTACTTAAAACAAACAAAGAGTACCTGGGTACTAATTAAAGCAAATAAAGAGTTTTTTGTTCTAAAAATGATCACTGATCATTGAACAAAAAGGATCTAGAAGTTTAAAGCAGTAGCTCTAAATATAAGAACAAATCTTTTTCAAATTAAATAACTTTCCATTCAGATTGTTCACTTTGTTCTAGCTTTCTAAACTTTTTTTTGAAAATGTTCTCAGCAAATGCTTTTTCATCACTTTTTACTAATGTTGAATGCAATAAGTCAGTTGCTTCGTGTGCAACTGTTATCACAACAACTACTACCTACAAGCTAACTGAATCTAATCGTAGAATATACCAACAAAATAAATCAGGTGACTTATTGCATTTAACATCACTCGAAAATGATGAGACAGCATTTGTTCAGAACATTTTTAAAAAAAAGTTCAATTTGTTTTAAGTGAACAAACAGTTTTTGTTTATTGTAATTAGAACAAAGAAGGTGCGATTGACCATTTTTAAGCAAAAGAAAAGTCTTAAAACAAATCTTTTATAAAAATGCAATTTTAAGTAAGATTAACATGCATTTCTCCTATATGGCGCAATACCTGAATAGCAAATCTTAACTTCAAAAAATCATATCTTAAAAACTACTAAGTATATTTTTTTTTAATTTGGATTACAACTAATAAAGAGATGCTCTACACAATGATAATGATGAAAAAAAATTTACTCGTAGGGTTTTTCTTAGATTATTTCGATTTACTTCGAACTTTTTCGAACACTGTTCGAAGCAAAGTTTGCCAATATTCAACTTCAAATTTTACATCATTCTAAAGGGCAAAGCCATCCCTTTAGAATGGACTTTATTTGAAAGAAATCGGCCTAATAGTTATTGAGTAATGATTTTTTAAATTGAAGTATTTTAAATTCATTTAAACTAGAAAAAATTATTTTGTTCAAAGTGTGTGGACTTTTTAATTTTTTTTTAGTGCATTTGATTTGTCTCACTAAGACGAACAAAATGATTTAAAATTTGTCAAGTTGTCACGACATGACTTTTTTTGTCGCCCTGTGTTATGAAATAGGAATAAAACCATATTCGGTGTTTCAACTTAAATAATAAACTAAATAAAGTAGTTGACCACAGACCTTCAAAAAATGTATTGTATTGTATTGACATGAATCCAAATATCTGTCATTAAACTAATAATAATAATTTATTAAAATTATAAACTTAAATGAATGAATTTGGCAAAAAGACAACTTTTTATGAGTATAGTTAATAGAATTATAATAGTTCTAATATAACATTAATATTTTTGGTATAGTTCCAAAACATAGTACTGCTTCTACTCCTAAAAATATTCTTCAAACTATTAAAAAAAAATAGGTTATACATAGATTTTCTATTTAAGTAATAAAAGCTTTGCAATAAAATTGTTGAGTGTCAGCAGTAGGTGTCAGTTTTATCACAGTCAGATAAAGAACAGTAAATGCAATGCAACACACTTAAATTAATATTTTGCATGCAGTGTCATCATAAATTCTTCGTTAAAGATATGTACATAATTATATGAACGGTCAAAATCACGAAGCGGCAAATTAAAATCACAAAAAAATAGCGACTGCAGCTCATGGATGACGCTAGAGAGCTAAAAATAGGTTTAATCGAGAAAATAGTACCGACATACGAAAAAATTGTACATATGTTAGTCACAGCTAAATCATGTTACGGAACATTTAATTTTAAAGCACGAATTTTCCATTGGAAAAAGTAAATGGCTATTCATCAAGTATTCAATTTAATTTCTAATCTTAGTGGCCTGTTCGTTTGAAATCAAATTGGAAGTACTGAATAATATAAAGACATAAAATAAGAGATTTGTGAAGATCATGTCTTCTGTGTTTATGCTTCCTATTGTTGCCAACTTAATTTTAAAATCACAAATTACTATGATTGGAAATTTAATTGAACAGATGTTATTATAAAATACGGGTAGTCGTAGATATACTTAAAAACTTAAAAATGGTAGTCTATTATTATATTACGAGTATATGTAGTATAAAAGTCTAATCTAATCCAAACTAAAATGATTTTCAAGTATACGACTTATATAACACAAACTGTTTTAGAAATGAGTTACAATATAAAGTTATTGATTATAGAAAACCTACTAAGTGCATCGTTTACGTCGATTGTACTTTCTTACAATCTAATTACACATCCTCAAAGTTTTCTTGCTCTACATGATATAGTAATACCTGCTTTGTTGTGTATAATCTCCAATTGTAACAAAAAAAAAATAGTAAAATTGTCTTTTACTACTGTTTTTTTCATTTTCTGACTAACTAACAATTTTTGCACATAAAGGTTTTTCCGAATCACCGTCGTTATGCTAAATTTTTATTGATTTTTGGAATAATTCATTTCCTCATCAGAAAAATATTATCTTTAAAAATTTCTTTCGTGTTACCTAAAACAGTAAAAAAGCATAATTTATGTAGATGTGTCAGAACTCGCGCTCTAGAGAAAACTTTCAAGCAAGATAATACGACACCAGGAACATGGAAAAAATGTTTAAAAAATTCTATGTCAAATAATTTTGACATTTATTTTTTGACATTTGACATTTTTTATGTCTATTTAATGATACCGATAATCATGTATATGTTTTTTATAATTATTTACAGATTTGTCAACAAGAAATTACCACCTAGGATTTGAATTTTTAGGAAAATTACGTTTTTCATGTAGTTTTTACTTGAATTTTCAGAAGTAATTTTGAATGCCTAGGGTTGGTAACCCCTTGTTGTTAACGGTTGACGTTTTCTGTTAACCTGCTGTCATATACAACCGACAGGTGACATAACCTAAATTTTTGACACTAGCTACGATCTCTTTTGTTTGTCACTACAAACCAACCTAACCAAATTTATGGCAACCTATTTACGAATACCCCTAAATCCTAGGGAGTAATTTCTTGTTGATACGATAATAGTAAAGATACAAACATTTTGCCAATAAAAGCCACAAATAACATTGAACAGAGTTATAATTTAGGATACAGCTTCCTTGTTTCCTCTTCTAATAGTCTGTAGCAAAAAAACTTGGAAAGTTATTTTTCCAACAGAAATAAATAGAGTCAAAGTGTAAAATTAAACTCTCATAACTTGGAAATTTTTATAGATAGATTTTTTTTTACATTTTTTCCATGTTCCTGATGTCTTACCTTATATGGCATTTTTCTCTGAGGCGCGAGTTCTGGTGCACCATGTATAAATCCATCTTTTAATCAAAAATAATTGAGAAAATGCAACATTAGCTAGGCCACAAAATTGGGGAGAAAAAGTTTACAAAAAAAACACATAATTTTCCAAAATCTAATACTTCGAATCTAATATTCTCCTCTGAGAGTTCAAAATCGGTTAATTTATGATAATTTTATTCAGAAGAAAGGCGTGCCACTAAAAATGCAAATTGTATATTATTTCTTGCAACAATAAAAAAATCTCTAACATTCTGTATTATCTATCATAAAACACACAAACATTTTAAATATTTGTTTATACTTGAGGGCACGATTAAAATAAGAATAGCCACGAGCTACATAATAGGAGCAAGCTACACATCCGTCTGTGATGTAATTACAATAATAACAGTAATAAAAATAGTACAACACCTACATTACTCACTCCTCACTATACCCATCGGGCATCGAATGGCTATTTACCTTAGTCACGGTGACACAATTTGATCATAAATGAAACACAAAAAACATCAATGCTTTCACTCTCCCCGATTTTTTTTAACACATAGTATATTATTCACGAGAAAATCAGTTTTTGCATCAAGTTACCATTCCGACCGTCGTTTACGCACTATGTCGCCTACTAAGACGTCGGTGTCAGCGTCTGCTGGGTGAATGCTTGAAGTTCGTTCACAATGTGTCCGACAAAGACAAGAAGGTCGCGGGTGTATGGAAATGAAGAAGGAATGATAGTGGTGCTTTTGCTAACGACAAGGAAAGAAAATTCTTTGTTGGCGTCGGCATTTTCACGGGGTGCGCGACGCAGGCGCCACGACGCCCCCGATATGCACGGCCCAGATATACCTACCACCGAAGTGAATAAATCGGTAGAAAGATCTCTTCATTTGAGTTTTGACGGGTTTATTAGGTGGAAATGGTGATAATAAATTTGGTTATTTATACCACAGCTAACGGACTGATAATATTTTGGTAATTACAAGGGAAAATATAAACCTTATCTAGATTATTAAAACAAAATAATGGAATATTTTAATCAACAATATAGCAAAAACCTTGTTTTAGTAAACTCTACATGCACGTAATAGACTGAATAAACTTTGATACTAAACAAACCAAAAAAAAAACTATTAATTTAGCAAAGTATTTACTAAAAGTTATTTAAAACAAAGATCTGGAAAAAATCAGTTTATATTTAAATTCACATTCAGAACTCTTTTTTTGCATTAGACAATTGTTTGTTCATTTGTGGAATATGCCTTAGTAATCTAAAATTTTGGAAGTTGTAAATAGATTGAATAATAAGTGTATTATTGCTTATCGTTCGTTTGTGGTCAGTTTTAATTTTGTTAAAAAAGAGAAACATGGGCGGAGAGGCACGATATAGTGGTTGTTATTTTATATAAAAAAAAAGATTCTTTTGATTTTTTACAAACTCGTTCTAACTTAAATTTTCAAGAAACTACTATTTACATCACAATAAACAATAACGAATAAACTGTTATTATTCATTTTGACTCTTTTTTTTGCCCCCCCTGACCATAATCTCTGCGGGTGCCTAGTTCAATACAAAAAAAAATCAAAAAAATAGTTATTTACGAACCAAGTACAAGAAGACCATTTTTCGAGCATGAGCATATTATTTGACACACGAACGACAAAGGAGCGAGTGCTTCATCTGCGCGAATGCGCCGAGGACGTTTTCGCACATCGAAAATAGATTATGCCCCCCCCCCCCAATTTACGTTTACGGTTAATTATTGCGTTTGTAAATTATGCAAATTTATGTAACAAAGTTGAATGTCGCCATTTTAAATGTTTATTTTGTTATACCATTTTAGACACAATAGTTATTTATTGTAAGAGTGTGTTAGGTAGCGTTTTATCCACGCAAGAATGTTTAACCGCGAGAACGCGGTTAAATTTCTCAAGTGGATAAAACGCGACTAACACACGACTGCAATATAACGTTTTATCTATAATCACAGGCCCAAATTATTCCAAACTTAATTAAAAATTAAACTGACATTTAAACGTCACGCCAAATGTGCTTTCGGTTAAACGTAGTAAGCTGTTACGCGGTGCGCTGGTTAGTAACAGTGGAATAAAGTTACTTTCTTCCACTAGTGGATAAAGTGGTACTTTATACGCATCTAAAGTAGAAAAAAAAGTCTCTTTATAGAGTGATTGTGAATAAATTATTTAAATACCGTAGACGTTCTTTAATTTAAACAAGACAACATTTTGTCTTTGGACAAAATTGACTCCAGAGACCAAATAGCTTACCTTTGACTAAGGGTTTATATGCAAAAGTTTTATACCGCATTGACCGCTATAACCTCCTAACGTTTGGCAACATCTTTTTGAAACACCCTGTAAATTTATTACGATATTAACTAAAATGATTTTTCTTTTAGTCGCCTTTGCATGTAAATTTTTCTGTGTCGCTCTACTCTTTTTGAATCAGATAGTTCTGTCAACATCAGTGACGACTGTCAATTAGAATAACATTAACATTTGAGGTTAATTAGATTCAATATTTTTTAAAGCGGCATTGTTTATTTTGCATGGAAATTCCATAGGCAACCAGATGAAAATCATTTTAAAACACGCTGTATAATTGTAAGCTATAATTTGGTACTCTATGCACTAACATAATTATTAGATTATAATATTTTTTAAGAACTTATTTCAAATTTCAAAATGCATAGTTAAAAAACTCGTATGTCAATATACATACCAGGTGAATAAAAAGTATGGAACCTTAAACTATTTATTTTTTGAAAAAACTAATTGATAAAGTACTATAAAAATGTGATGAAGAAGAATAAAATTTTTCGAAATTTCCTTTTGTTTTTGAGTTCTACAAAAAACTTAATTTTTTTAAATGGCAACCCACTATAAAATCATTTTTCTCATAAAAGCTATACTCTAAGAATTACAACTATCTAATTTATATTTAATTTTTTTTTTTAATTTTTCTCATAAATTGCAATTTTGACAAAAAAAAATCGCATAACTCAAAAATAAAACAAAATTTCGTTCTGAAAATACGATCACATTTTTTATATTACCTTAATTTATATTAATTATTATTTTCTGCAGGCAAATGATTAAAAATAAATCCGCTTGGTTTCATACTTTATATTCACTCTGTACAATGGCGAGTATTAAATTTTGGTAGGTAATTTCATTTTGAAATTTAATTTTATCTCTTGTCAACCTTCTTTCAAAAATGAATACAATAAATGTCAAAACACTACCCCAAAAACTAGTTAACAAAATTTTTTTTTATTGTGTAGCCAGTCTCTAATTTCAACAAAGTGAAAATAATTACTTACCATGATGGAGAAAGGATTTTTTGAAGTTGAGATAGTTGATCAGTTGGGGCTAGTAAAAAATTCCGTCAATTTCAAGACATTTGACATCCACACGTTCGTTTCACAAGAGAGCATGTTAAGCAATGACAAACCACCAGAATTTAATGCTCGCCATTGTATAATGTGGTGTTGTCTTTTTTCTTGTTGGTTGGTTATTTTTAGTGTTAATAGAGAATTTGACCACAAACAACGTTGAGACCACATCTAAATTCTTTCGGATTTAGTCACCACTGAGTAACAGACATTTCTAAAAAGAACACTACCTTTTATCACTTACACTTGAGTGCAAAAAAACGCAAATCGATTTTTTTATATCGACTCTCCCAACGAAAACTATAGTAACTCATAAAAATTGGCTTAGAGTTACGATGGCTTATGCAGGGTCCAAAATGTAAAAACAATGAACAAATTTTTTTTTAATAAACAATTTTATTACCAAAACTTAGACCCTCAGTTAATTTCAATAATATTAAACAGTTCCTTGATTTTTTATTAACAATCAAAGATTCAATGCAGTTTTTCTCAAAACTGTAAATTTTGAGTTACTTACTATAGTTTTCATTGGGAGAGTCGATATAAAAAAAAATCGATTTGCGTTTTTTTTTTGCACTCAAGTGTACAGTTGAAGACAAAATACTTTGGTCGTTAATGTCACTTGAGTGACATTAAATTGTAAAGCATGCTTTAGATATAAAGATATAATAGCTGTCAATAATTTAAAATTGACATTTATTTTTCATTTTAACGTTAAAGCTTGAATTACATTAAAGTGTCAGAAAAGTGACAACCAAAGTATTTTGTCTCCCACTGTAAGTGGTAGAGTAATTTGGCCTGTTAATAAATGCTAGTTTTTTGACGTTGTCTTTGTCACAATTCACAAGTTCATAACTGTGAGGCATCTTCCAAATTTCTATCAAGTTTTTCTATAATTTTCCATTTCGTTTTTATCACTGACTATAACACTATCACCAAATACGACATTTCTTTTCATAGTTTTCTAACCTTTTTGGGAACAACCTTTTTCACACTATGTAAATCTCTGAAAAATTTGACAATTTTGTTTTTAACAATTTTTTGCACTCAAGTGTAGTTAAAAATGCGCAAAAATTTGTTTATACAGGATGATTCAAAAATGTCGAACCAACTCTCAAATGGTGATAGAAGACTTTCAGCTAAACATAAAAATGAATGCAGATTTTTGTTTTAAGCATGTTTTTTTATTGATAAACACAAAACTATCAATTTTCATATTATCATGTAGGCAACTTATTTTTTTTTTGTTTTTGTTGTCGTTAGAATTAATTTATTGTTAAATTTGTTAGTTTTTTAAAATAGTATATTATGTAACTATAAACGCCACTTTAGACATGAGTTTTATTAGGCACGAGCGAAGCGCAGCAGAGCGAGTGTTTAATGAAACGAATGTCTAGAGAAGCTTATACACGTGTTTTAGAAAAAGCATTTTCCTAAGACCTACTAAAAATTTTATTACTTTTAAGTTAAATGCGGTATTGTTAAGAGTAAACCCGATGTAAACAAATCATAAATTAGTGGAACCCACCCGGATCCAGAAACCAAGGAAACAGGTCAGTTTTTAACAGGGTCGGATTATTTACTTTCTTTTTGTCTAAAATACTTGAAATATTTTAATAGTTTTTGATGTAGTCAAGTATTTTAAGAAATTTAAAAAAGCCAGGTGGTTATCAACAAGTTATTATTAAATAAATCAGATTTTTTCAATAATAGCTTGGTAAAACTCTACCACTACTTTGGTTTTAAATACGGCCCTGTTTTATTCTGGTGGGTGCAGCAACACTTGCAAAGGAACGTGATTTTTCTATACATACTGTACTTTTCCTACAACCACCACAAAAAAATTTACTTAAATTAAATTTTAAAATAAATGACAGAAAGCTAAATTTAGCCTGTGTGCTATTAGCAACGTAACTAATACGCATATTAGCCACGAATTGTAATTATAATTCCCCCTCATGATTTTCACGAGCCGTTCAGTGTGTCTGTCCTTGTCAATTGAAAGTGAAAATATCAATGAAAATAATTTGCATTGAATGTTGACCATGTAACTTTTTAAAAAAGAGAACTTTTTGCCCCAAAAAATTATCAGCAGGTTGAAATCAAATTGTCAATCAAGTCATTATGGCCAACTACTCAAACGCCGAATTGACTAGTGTACAGTTGGAGACAAAATACTTTGGTCGTCACTTTTGTGACACTTTAATGTAATTCAAGCTTTAACGTCAAAATGAATGACAATTTCAAATTAATGACGCTATTATATTTTCCTATCAAAAATATCTACATACAACTTGTGAACTATGATTGACAGTAGCTAAAAATAAGGTTAACAGTCCTAAAGCATGCTTTACAATTAAATGTCACTCAAGTGACATTGACGACCAAAGTATTTTGTCTCCAACTGTACGGGCATCACTTCCAAGACCGATTTTCACAAAATGTTTGGGCAGCGATCATTAAAGATCACTTTAATTGGACCCTAATATTTACCTCATCGTTTAACTAGCGCCGTTTATCAGGATTTTTTGGAAAATCTGTTGTCCGATCTGATGGAAGACGTGCCCTTGACGACAAGAAGGGAGATATGTGGTATTTACAAGATGGAGCTCCATCAGATTATGCCAAAGTCGTCACCAATGGATTGAACAATCTTTTTCCCTAGAGACGGATTGGTCGCCAATGGCCACCGCGGTCACCAAATTTAAATACGTGTGTTTTTTTTGGGAGATCACATGAAACAATTAGTGAATTAGTGTACGCAGCTCAAAGTAATACCTTCGTATTACTTTGTATTTTTTTTGCTTTATTTTGAATACAAATTATTTAAATATCGTCGATGTCTTAAATGTAAACAAGATAGCATTTCGTTTTTGAACAAATGTGACTCCAGAGACTAAATGGCTTATTTTTGAATTTTTGACTAGGAGTTTACATGCAAAAGTTTTATACCGGATTGATCACTATAACTAATTCAGTCAAAATAGACAAATCGGTGGAAAAAAGTTCTAGAGAATTGATTTTTTTTTAAACGTTTTCTTTACACTTGGGTAGACAAAATTTTTAACTGGAATAAAATTCATAATTTTAATATAAACGATTTTTGTAAAAATCCTAAAACAGGTCGATTTTTATTTTTCCTTGTGCATTATTTCACACATATGGTTTTTGTTTATCTACTTTCTGAAATGCACAGCCATCTACCATTTTTTTTTCAAATGTAACGGTATGACAAGTGACACTTCGTTTGAAAGGTCGTTTTGCAAGAAATACAATGTACAACTATTTATTTTCTGATTGTTTTTAAAACTTATATGAAAAAAATAAAACCAATCCTATAAGATGAATTCTATTTAATGCAACAGATATTTAAAATGGATATCGTTCCTTTTCTCACAAACTACAAAACGATTGTAACATGTATTCCTTACATTTTGCAACATTTCGAGTGTGATTTGCGACAAAATCGAATAACATTGAGGACCTTAAGGAACGTTTTAGGAAAAAAATTAGGCAAATCACCCGAAATGCATGTTACTTTTGATTTGCAATGTACCCGGAAAGAAACGTTGCCCATTTTGAACATTTATTGCATTAAAGAGTATTCATTTATTTAAGTTAAAGATTTATTCTTATTTTTCTATTACGTAGGCTTTGAAAATATTCAGAACACAAATAGTGCGTTGTATTGCTTGTGATGTGGGCTTTGAAATGAGGTGTCACTTGTTATACTATTACATTTGGAAAAAAAGTTATAGGTAGTTGTGCATTTTAGAAAGCAGATCAACAAAAACATGTGTGTCAAATGTTGCGCAAGGAAAAATAAAAATCGACCTGTTTCAGGACTTTTTACAAAATTCGCTTATATTCAAATTATGAATTTTATTCTAGTTAAAAATTCGACTCTGTATATCAAAAGTCCCTAAAGATGGAGGGCGAGCTCGAGGAGAAGCTCGGGAAGAATCTTTCAATTAACTTATTTTACATTAAAATTAATGATTTGGTACGCCTTTCAACCGTCTAGCTAAGAAATGATACAGGTATTTTTTATAAACTTATTTTTTGTTAAACGGTTATTTATTTGTTTTGGCTTAGTTATGCAATTTATCTTAGAGGCTACACCCTCGTCTTTTACAGTTTTTTAAACATTTAAGATGACTCGAGATGACTTCACGTCACTTCTTAATAAAGTTTTGTGTTTATTTAATTAAGTCAGAAGCGGCATCCAAAAACTAAATCACCCTAAATTCATTTGTTATACTACTCGTCACGATATTTGAACTGTTGTAAATCTTAAGTCGGGTACTCGAATTACTCTTAACAATAGAGACATTTGGGTTGTTGTAAATAATCCAACAGTAAACACCAAAGAATGATGCATAATTATGTTGTTGACTAGAATGTTGTTTTTTAGAGTGGACTCCGATGATACCTAATTTCGGTAACACACGTTGGTGCCAGCCGGCTCTCAGATTGGGCGTGGGGAGGGGAAGAAAACAAAAAAATTGGGCCTCACTAATTGTTTTCCCTCAACTAGAAGGGTGAAGAAAGAAAAAAACGTTATCCCGAAAAATAGGTTTAGTAATAAAAAAAATTTAAGTTTTAAAAGCAAAAGTTAATAATGAAATTACTAAAAAAAATTGAAAATCTAAAATGTCACCGCTGAACAGAAAATAAAGTTACTAGCAAAATGAATTAATTATATAATTAATCTATATAATTTGTCTGCCACAAACGCATAGATCTATGTTTTGGCCAGAGAAAAAAATAAGAAGGAATATTACGGTTTTGTTAATGTATAGGGCGCTGCAGTTTGGATGTCCGAATAGGGAATCTCCGAAACTAAGAGGTTTGCGGTAGAGATGCCATAAAGAAATTTTCATTTCTTAGGACAGGCACGTTTCAAAGGTTTGTAGGAAGAGATGGTCCGTAAGAGAAATTTGTTTTTGGGCTTTCATCAAAAAAAAAATAATTCATTTAAATATTCAGCTATATTTTGAGATTGTTTCTTTACAAATGTGCATTATCACTTTAATATTAAATTAATATATAAATTCCCAAATGTTTGTCTGTAATAAATTACAAGCCTACCACGAAAATTCCTGAATAAGACTCTTTTGTAAATCTTCAGGGTAGTACCACTAGCAGTGAAAAATTATTATGGCCGACCGCAAGGCTGCTTAATCCTCAATAAAGCTTTGCATACGTCAATCTCAAATATTCCTGGTGACGACTATATTATTATTATTTACACATTTGGAGTGAAAGAGTTTTTCCATGGCCAACTATTATCAAACAAAATATGTATTTCACTTTTTAAGTATAATTATAAAAAAAATATTCTGTTACAAATTTATATTTTTTAGATAAAAAAAAATAAGCTCTTCAAAATTGCAATAGCCGCCTATGATTTCCATTTAAAACAATACAAGTTTATCTTATTATGGCTAAACCAATAACTGAAAAAATTTGTTAACTACATTATTAAATTCCTCGTAAAAAAGTGTCTGTATAATATCTTTATTTCAAATTCGTATCTTCTATAATAACGAAGATATATTTTTTTTTAGATTTCGCCAAAATGTCAACTTTTCTCTGTAAGTCGAAAACAAAAGACCCGCTATCGTCTTAACGATACGATACTTAAATTTCGATACTTAAAAGTCGATGACTTGGAATTTTCACGATACAACCAGATTTAACTCGAACCTCAACTAGATGAGACACGGCTCCCGTACTAGAGCTGAACCAAAAAATGTCTGAACGGTTTTTCCACTCCGCGTTTTAAAGAACGACCTGAAGAAAAAAGTGATAACGGAAGTAAAGATTTTAAATGTACGCGCCAAACAAGAGATAAGAGCAAAACTAGGGACTTTAAGAATGTAACTGAAAATGACATTTAAAGGTTAGATTCAAGTTCAAAACAGAAGACTAATAAGTAAACAACAACGTGGGCAATTAAACTGAGGCCCCCATAGCCCACATGGGAATCCCTAGGGCAGGCGAAAGGAAATATGGTGGCTATTCGGCCCCAACGAATAGCATTTCCGACGATGAAGCACCAACTCGAGATGTTTTTAAACAGAGACATTTACAGGGATAATGGACACTGAAAGGCTATGGCGTTCGAGTTTGCCCACGACTGAATGCTGGACGCACCGAGCCACATAAAAAATGAAGAAAACCTTATGAGAAAGTTGATACAAAGAAAGGGACAACACAGAAGGAACTTTGACGCTCCGACGTCAGTCGTTCGTTCAAAGGCCGTCAAGGGCATTAAAACCGCACCCTTCTAAGTCAGGATGAATTTTTACACGTAACACAGTGTGCTTTTGTAGATAGCCATAAACGACTCCTACTGGAGACGTTAATAAACGTATTATAAACGCAAATTAGAAAACAATTTTTGCTAATAATGTTTTCCTTGAAAAAAAAATAAAAGTGCCTAAGACAAGATTTATTAAAATTTTTAACAAACTTCAATCATTAGCCAAGATAATCAACTTTTCTGTATAGTATTGTGCAAAATTCATTAATTTTTTTTGAATAATTTTTTGACCTCTAATTTAGACGAGCCATTTCATGCAATTCGATGGGTTTTAAATTACATTTTAACTCAACTTCAAAAGCGTTTTTGCAAAAATTTTAAAAAGTAATGAAAATCCTGCATTTACACAACACGTATAATTGCAATCAAATTTTAATTTGTGACTAATTTCAAATTATTAAATTTTAATTCGCCTTCAGTAAAACGACTCTTAGCTAATGGGCGACACATTATGATTACTTTGTTGCGTAGGAAATCTATAGAAAATTAAAATTTTACTTTACTTAAAAAGTTGACACATCAAATAATTCCTCGTAATACGTAATACAGTTTTAATCATTTTGAGTAAATAGTGAGATTTATTGCTGCAATTTGAGCCGGCCGGGTTTATAGGGGTGTCATTCTTTCTGCTCGTGACTGTACACGTACCAGGAGATGCACAAGAACGACTAAATTGTTGATACAAAAGAAGTGGGCAAAGTTTGAGTATGTTATAAATATATTTTTAATTTTTTAACAAAAATAGAAGAGCACCTACACAACTTAAAACTTCGTTAATACAGTATATAATACAAAAAGTTTAAAACAAATGAACTTACAGTTTAAAAATAAAAATAATACAAAACAAAACAGATTAAAATCTGGACGTATTCTTCGGCCTCGGAGTCTTGGGCAGCTCTCCAGGAACAAGAAACTTCTCATTTTTGATAGAAATTCCCTCAGGATTGGTGACTTTAACTCCAAATGTGGTACTTCGCCAGCCTTCTTTTCCGGAAATTTCCTTCTACAAACCCTCAAAATGTAACAAAATCGCTACAACTCCTCAAAAACTTACCTCAAAATCGTGATAACTGGTCGAAACCTCCCCCACATTTTGATTTTCTTTATCAGAACTCCTGTTAAATGACAGTCTTTGCCTTAATCGCTCCCTCCGGGCCGACTTGCGACGATTCCTAGTCTTTGAAATGTTCAATTTCGGCAAACCCGTCTTGCACACTTCCTTCTTAACCGAAATTTTCGCCTTTTTGGGCGGCTCTGTCATCGTAGTGCCCGGAACTTTACGTTTGGAGCAATGACGAGGGGTTAATGACGTAGGAGTGACCATACGATGCGACTGCTGCTCCCTTTGCTGTTTCTTGGCGCTTAATTTTTGCTTAAATTCCTAAAATTCAATCAAACAAAATCCAAATTGCGTTTTTACAAACCTTTTCCTTGTCCTGGTGCAATTGTTGGATATAATCTGGTATAGTTTGTCCAAAAGTGTAAAATTCCTGTCCAATACGCAAATAGTGCACTTGTGCCAAATTTCGAAGCGATTCTTCGACTAGTGGAAGTTGTTTTTTGAGTTTGTTGCGATTTTTCTCCTCGAGTAAGAGTAGCCCTCCGCGATTTTTGTATCGGTTAGCGCCGCCGGAATTCATTTCCAGTTCGAGATGTTCGGCCCACAATTGCTTAAATTCTTCAAGTAGTGTAAAAATGTCGATGTGCTCTTCATAATACCGCTTCCACTTTTCGATTTCGCGGTCATGTAACTCAAATAGATCTTCATTAAAACACTCCGAGTGATAAAAAGTGAAGACATCCCGCTGTTCTTGAGTGCAATGGCACTTGTCCCACAATTCCACCAACTCGGCTCGTTGTTTTTCAATAAAATTCCTCAAGTTGGCCTTTTTCATCTCCTCTAACCGATTTAACTCAATTTTGAGGGCATCGAGCGTCTTTAATGAATGACCGGTGTTGTTTTGTAGGAAAATATCCCGCTCAACCATATCAATCTCAAGTTTTTTCCACAAGTCGTCGATTTTGCTCCTCAATTCTCCAATCTCTTCCTTCACACTTGATAGTCGTGTGACCAACTGGTCGTGGAACTCCCGCAGTTGGGCCATCTCGGCGTCCGTGATCATGACTTGAGTGTTAGTCAAGTTTAAAAGGTCTTTTTCGAACTCGAGATTGGGGCAAACGTCCAATTCGGTGACAATCTCTACGATTTTTTCTTTCAACTGGAAGAAGATTTCTTCACGCTCGAGGGCTTCGGTCTCCAAGCCCTCAACGTATGCCCTGAAATCCTCCAGTTGGCTAGGCAGAGGCAGCGGAGACTCCTCGAGCGGTCTGGGTGCCCGCCCCAGACTGGCACACAGTTTGACTTGTTTCTGGCTTAACTCCGACAGCTCACGACGCCTAATTTGTGCCAAAACTTCGTACTCTTCCACTTTTAGGCTGATTTGGCGGTGGAGCTCGCACAAGGGGATCCCCTCGTAGTTAAATGTGGGGATTTGGAGGTGCAAGTCGCGGCATAAATCCTCCAGTTTTTGCAGCGATTTCATGATTTGGTCGTAGGTTTTTTCTTGGATAGTGTCCATGTCGGCAATTAAGTCCTCATAAAGATTTTCAATCTGGTGGATGAAAATCTTTACGTATTGGTCCAGGTCTAAATCGGCTTCGCCGATTTTGCACACGATATCGCACCAGTTTGACACCGCCCTTTTTGTGCTGCTTATCGAGTCTGCCAGGAGTTTTTCGGCCCATGGCTTGCCCTTGAAACTACAATCGAAACGGTTTTTACGACTTTTTATGGTAATTGCATTGCACTTACATTTCTTCATCAAACTCGTTCATTTTAGATAATTGACGCTTTACGTCACACATTATGACTTGATTCAAGTAAATAAAATAATAAAATGTTAAAACTTTAAAAACTACAGCACAGGAGTTGAACACACGAGACCGGTAAGAACACTAACAACTTTTGAATTCCTTTTAACGTCATTTAATGTCAGTAGAGGCAGCGCGCATGCGCAGTGGTTTATACCTGTTTTAAATAAACAAATAGTCAATAAAAATGCCAGTTATTAGACGAAAAGAACAAACATTTTTCTCAATCCTGACATCATACGAATTTGTTTAATAATCTACAAATTGTAAAATTTAAAAATTAACTTAAATTCGTTTGACAGGTGACAGGTGCACATGCGTAGTTGCCAGTGTTTATAAAAAAAATAAATAAATAATATTCATTGTGATATTAATAAACAATGCCCCTCAGGTAGAAAAGCTGAAACAAGTTAGTCAAAAAATGTAAGATTACAGTTAATCGAATAAAAAAGTTAAAAACTTTAATTTATTAACATTGCTAGTGCGGTACATGCGCAGTAGTTTAGGTTTTTTTTTTAAATGAACAAAGAATTAATAATAAAAAGGCCAGTTATTAAACAAAAAGGAACACATTCTTCTTAATCGTGACAACAAAACATTTTGTTCAAATCTACAAATTTAAAAATTGGAAAAATTAATATATTATTAAATTATTGCGACAGGTGTGCATGTGTAGTTGCTAGAGTTTATAAAAAAATTATATGAACAAATAATACAATTAACAAAAAAAAAAACAATCGGGTAAAAAACGCTTCCATAAGTAAGTAATTAAAAATGTGTAAAGTTACAATTAAGCAAATTAAAATAGGTATTAAAAACTGCGAGTTTCAAACGAAAATTTAGCGCATGCGCTGTAGTTTATGGATTTTTAAATTAACAAATAATTCATCAAAATGCTAGTTTTTAAACAAAAAGAACAAATATTTTTCTTAATTGTGGCAGCTAACAAATTAGGTTAAAAGCCCACAAATTAAAAAATATATAATATATAATTAATTTAAATTGGTCTTAACAGCAGGCAAAGAACTACATAGAATATATAGAAGGAAAATTGGCGTGAAAGGGGTAAGATTCCATAGCAAGACACTGCAGACGTTACTGATAGTAAAAGTAGGTTTTCTTTGATGTATTGAAAGTTGCCTACCGCAAACATTTTTTTTAAATATACATATAATTTTCTCATTTTTTATTAATAATTACAATTGTAATGTACTTAACAGTTTTAATGTTTTTCCAAATATTTTTTTTACCAAAATTAAACGATTCAGTGACGACATTGCACATCGTGTGACAAAATATCTTTTTTTATGAGCTCTTGATTGCGCGTTTGTACGAAACACTATTTTACAGGGTTTTGTGTTTTAATATGATTGTTTTAAATCTTTTTATTTGTTTAATGACGTTTTTTTTTTTTAAGTTTAGTTCTACATTTAATTTCAAACCTTTATTAAAAAACAACGTTATATTTACATTTTTTAGAGTCAAATATGTTATTTTTAAATTTAAACTTTCTATATAAAAAAAAAGAATTCTCTGTTACACTGGATTCCAGTGACAAATTTAGTGTGAAAAAGGCCCCTTTTTTAGTACTATTGTTGTGCACAGGTGTATTGTAGATTGCATAATTTAGTACGAGTTGTAACTGCCCATAGCTTGCCGCATGGCCTACTTCATCTGTCTTCTGCTGCGATCCTTACGGCCGTAACATAACGAGCCAAAAGTCAATTCTCTTAACCTCAAAATTATCGTCGAAATCGTCCGGTAAGTAGTGCCATCTACTTGGTTAACTGAAAACTTTTTAATTCATATTTTGACAGTTCTAAATTAGAAATTACCTGCACCTCATTCAAAATTCCTTCTTTTTAAATTAATTTGTTACTGAAACGTTTGTCGAAGACTGAAACGACAAATTTGGTCGGCCGAATGCGTGCTGAGGTAAAGTAACAGTTTTTTGGTGCTGGCAATCCTCTGGAACAAGTAGCTATTTCCATTCTAATTCTAAAATTTTTTTGGAAAACTAAGTCCGATAATAGAGAGGGTTCAGGGCCGTACCCAAGGGGGGGGGGGGGTTTAGGGGGTTCAAACCCCCCCCCGAAATGCTGAACACTTTGTTATATAGTGTTATAAGTGTTAAAAATTTAGTTTTTTTGTTATTTTAATGAGTTAATTTTAAATTTTTGTGAATTAATTTTTTATGTGTTAATTATACAGTGTTTCATTTTTATTGTTAGGTACAAATTTAAATA